AACTCAGGTACCGAGGGGAGCTGGAGCTCCTCGCGTAGTGTTTGATTCTTAGCCCTTTGTAGGGTGGTGCCACGGACAATTCGCCGAAGGATAGAGTTCTAGAAGCCCTGTAGTCTCGTAAGCGTGGATTTATATAGGTATCGCAGGAGAGGGGCCCGGTGGAGCAGTGTAGGTCTTATAATAGCTTTATAAATTTGGAGCTTGAGTCTCAGCGAGAGCTGCGGCGACGTCAGTAGGTGGTAGAGCCGGTGTGACTTCTTTCGTGCCAGCTTGATCCTCTGCCTTACGTGATTGGAGAAGGTCAAATCTCTATCCAGCGTGACGCCGAGGTAGACAATCGAGGTAGAGATTTTATGATAAGCTCCTCCAACGGTGAATTGTGTGGGTAGATGCTTCTTTTCCTTCTGAAACGACATGACAATAGCATCAGTTTTCGCTGGATTCACTCTGATACCGATCTCTTCTAGTTCTTCAACAATTGTGGCTGAAGCATTCTGTGCCAGAGTGAGTGCAGTCTCCGCGTTGATGCTGGAAGCATATATGCCAATGTCGTCAGCATAGGCTGCTACCACCGCCTTTGGATGTTTGAGTGCCACCACTGGCGCTGTGAAAACGACGAACAGTATTGGCCCCAACATCTTGAGGTACTCCGCAGGTGGTATCGACTGGGTTTGAGTAAATAGCAAGTTTTTCCACATTGTTTAATATTTTAATGCTAAATAATCAATTACTTTCGTCGAGTGAAAAAAATAAGAATTTCCCACAGAAAAAGCAAGAAAAGTCATGAAGAGTAGAAAACTATGCCCATAACTAAAAAAAAAATATGAATGGTTATACACATGATAATACGTAAGGATTCTAATTTTAGCACTGGACGTGACTATATAGTGTAAGAAGAACGAAGATTACTAAAGAGAACTAGAAATAGAATTGGAAATGGGACGTAGAAATAGAAAAAAAAAAAAGTCAAGGAAAAGAATGATTTCGCAAAAAAATCTGGCTGGATACGGTATCAGGAAATGGAGGAATGGAGAATTTTTTTTTAAGGGATTTTATGTTAAGAAAATTACATCAGTGGAAAATTCCTAAATAAAAAATTATATAAGCCTTACGTCAGTTTAGTAGTGGTTGGTTTTGAATTTAATTACATAAATCGCTTCAACAGTCAATGGTGATTCAAACATTAAAAAACCGGCACTAGCTTCTGAAATGACACGTTATCTGAATTATCACTGATACTCATGAAAATACGATGGGATATTTAATGTCATAAAATTATTATGAATATTCTAATCTTAATTATCTTCAAGGATTACGAATTGTTTTTGATTGAATGAAGTATGTAGGCCTCAATAATCTTTACACTGCTGGGTATTTTAAACTACAAAATGAAATGAAATGTAAAAATAATTTACAGTCCTCTAAGAATAATAACAAAGTTCCACAATTATGAAAGTTATTCTGACTTACAGTATGCAAAATGATACTTAATTAACTGTTATTTGCATTTTCATTTACACAGTTGATTGAATTATACAGTGTACAGAAGCAAATAGATTTCCAGTAAGTGGTGGAATAGGAGTTGTTTAAAGTAATTCATATAAGAGGATTGACGTACAGAGGAAGGTAGAGAGTTCCAAAAGGAGGCAGCACGAATGACCAAGAATTTGCTGAAGGAAGTAGTTTTATGGAAGAGGATATATAAATCTGTAGTTTGAGATATGGTATTGAGAGAGTGGATAGAGGAGCGTAAATTAAGGAGTTCTAAGATGTAGGGATGGTTTTTCGTTCTGATGAATTAAAAAAGGAAAACACCAAGAGAGAATTGCCGTCTGGAAGTAGAATAAAGCCACTTCAGCTCGGTGTACCAGCAGGAAACATGAAAACGTCTGGAAACCCCAAAGACGTATTTTATAAAGCAATTAATGAGTCTCTTGAGTCTCATCTCCATCCTGACAGACAGCCCTTATAACACCAAGCAGCCATAGACGAAGTGGGGGAAAACAAGGGAGTTTAAAGAAATGTAATCACGGAATCTTAAGAATTGTTTAAGAATAGTTATTGATTTTCGGGTAATCTGAGAAACCTGATTATTCAAGGAAATGTTCTGTTCAAATGTTACTCCTTGGTTTTTAACTGTATAGGAAAAATGGATGAGGCGGTTATAGAGGAAAAGTAGAGGAGAGTAAGGAAGGGAACTAATAAGATCTATGGACTCGATGAATTGCCTTAGTCTGCATTCAGCTTTAATTCATTTATTTCAGTCCATTTGTTGATGCAGTCAATATCCTCTTGTAGCTGTCGGGTAGCCACAGGCATCTCAGGAGGTTGTAATGATTCGTAAATTTGAATATCATCAGCGTATGGGTGGAAACAGGAGTGATGGATGAAGGCAGGAAGATCACTAATATAAATGAAAAAAATTCAGAAATAAATGAATCGAAATTTTTTTATTAGTATGTTTATCTTTTTATTTTTTATATATGGTGTCTTCAAGGATACATAAGCCCTTATAATTTTACTACTTATTCAAATTATAATGTTTCGAGCTACTTTGCTCATTTTCAAGTTATCCATAACAAGTCACAAAACATTGTTATTAATAAAAAAAAAAAAAAAAAAATAATCGATCACTAAAACCTATGAAAGGTCTTGGGTTCAGTACTATTTAGGAAAAGCACTGTTTCTTGTTCGAAAGTAGTGCAAGGAGATGATTTGACCGAGATCGCCAGGTTTTCTCTCTTAATTAATTATTTAATTAAGGGTACCCATTTTATAGAGGCTGGGTGTGCCTCAGATGGTTCTCCCGAACAAGAGTCGTCCCACGGTCAATGAAACAGAATAAATAATTTTTCTGCCATGAGCAGGGATTCGAACCTGGGACCTACCTTTGTTAGTACCACTCCCTTTGTTAATAATAATGACAATTAGTTATCTAATGACAATTAAATTCATGATGCTAATATTACTTCGAAAATTTACCGATTATTATATAAATTCCAACATATTTCCATCATAAAATTCTATTATAATTTATTTTTAGTCTACAAATATAAAAAGTGCCATGTTCCTCGCGTTTTATTGGCTTTTCTTGTAATTCATATCAATTCTAAAAAACGAAATAAGATTTGCATGTGCATAGGTGTAACTATGCAGTGCTGGACTTAAGATGGGGCAATCACACTGGGACTCAGATTTGGAAATGCGCCAGTTGTTAGAAATAAACAAAAAATACAGAACGTATTAAAATAATTAATTTTAGGCTATGAATAAAGCAGCTGTATTAGAGAAATATTGAATAAAATCAACTTCAAATATTACAACATTTAGAATAGCTTAAGAAACAAATTTAATTTTTTTAAGGGGGAAGATGACGTCATTGTCCGAGGGAAGCGCCGAATGTCTAAGGCCGTCACTGCAGATTTGCATCTATTCTTGAAGATATCATATATTATTAGTACATTAAGATCTCATGAAAAACATACCACAAAAAGTAACTTTTTATTTTATTTTTTTCCAAAATAGTAACCTGAATTCTTTACAAAAATGTTCCAATGAAAGATAGATCAATTTTAAAGAATGTATTAAAATTTATTACTTATATTTATTAGACCCTTTCCCAATTCTTTTTAGTGGTATTTTCATTTTCACTTAACAATATATTAGCCAAAACTTCAGGAGAAGTATAGAGTGGTCGTTACAAATTTCTAATTCCAATTTTCAAAAAGAATACAAGTTTTTGAGGTCCCCTGTGTCAAAATAATCAGAGCTCGAATAACAGTGTGTATGTGCGCGCATGCGTGCATGCGTTTGTGTGTGTACGTGGGTGTTTATGTGTAGGCGTCTGTGCCGAGGGCCGTGTGTAAAAACCAAAGGCCCCTAGGATATTTTCCCATTTCCTCGTCAAACATTAACTCTCGTCAAAACCCAACTGCATCCGTTATAATGGATGAATAAAAAATATTATGTAAAGTATTACATAATTATTGTTGGAAAATAAACTTTATTCTGAAACAATATATTATATTAAATCGTAAAAGGAAAAGGAATGTGACTAAAAAGTATTGATATCACATGCTTTTAATGGATATATTATACCGCCTATAATTTTTACGTTCACTTCTCTATTTATAGAAAATGTCTAGAAACGTCACTTCTCTAGGTAAGGTGGTAAGTGAAAGTTGAATGCGCGCACTGTATCAGTTTTTTTTAATACTCTTAAAATTTTCACTGAACAAGGAATGAGTACTCTATAATAAGTACTCTTCCAAAAGGATAGATCATTAGAAAAAAAATTTAACTCCTCTCACTTGTTATTTGATCTTATTATTGCCCTTTGACCAAAATATTACCGAAACCACCCATTTAATAACCTTGAAATATATGCAGAAGTATACAATACAAAAATTCTTGAAATTATGTAAAATATTTTTTTTCTCGTCTGCTAGAGCGCATTGGCAAGAATCCTCGGACATTGGTCTAATATTTTTCAGCATTGTATCTCCCACCCCCCAAAAAAAACATTGGAATTGGTGAGTTAACGCCCGTAACCTCCTCTTCTAAGTGAAATAACAATATCGAAAGATAAGATTCAGAATTCATCTACTTCGAAAAAATTAATCGTCTGATAACTTTTTATGAGTATCAAATTTGCGTGTTTTCTAATTCTTGATTGCAGTACTTTCGAATTGATTCTGTTTAAAATTACTGCTAACCGTAAACATTATACTATTTTAAAAACGAGTAAAGGTTGGGGGGGGGCGAGATATTTAGAACAAAACATGTAGAAACATATGGTCCATATACAGGTATTTCCATATTTTTATCACTTTGTGTTTCCGTTTTCTAAAATAACGAGTTTATATGTTAAAATATTAACATATAATGTATCAACATACAATTGAATGTAATAATAGGCATTTCTTCTCTTATCTCTTCAGAGAAACAACACTGTTAACTTTGTTGTTCTTGAGCTTGGGTTTTGTTGCCAACTTTTCAAAATGCAAAATTTGAAAATAAATCTTGTTAAGTTTCTTGATAAAACTGGAGATTTACGTATGATAGAAGAAAGTGTTTTAAAATACAAGAATGAAAGTATTCATGCCAATCAGAATAATAACTCATGTCAACCATTAAGAATTGCTTTAGGATTTGATTATATTAAACTCGTAGAAATTGCAGGTATAAATAAATAAAAGTGCATGCTAATAGCTTCATGAATTAATATTTCTATACTTAATTGGAATTTTGCTTAATAAAAACAACATATCTTTAATAGATGATTCATTTACTTAAAACAATCAATTAACTTTGTATCTTTATCAACAAACTTTAGTAGTAAATCTTATAAGATGGACTGATTTTTACAAATGAAACAAGAATATTTACTTGTACATAGTTTTTAACAGATTGTATTGTAAATGAATTGTCACAAATTCATGCCAGAAATGGAAATAAATTGACCTATTTTGAAGTAGTTTTGCTTATTAATAGAAAACTCTGAACACTTAGATAATATCTATCTGTATAAATCTATCTCTAAATATTAATACTACAGTAAATTTTGTAACGACTCAGGAGAATTCGCATCTTTATTGGTTGAAGAACCAAATATTGCTAAAAAGGAGTTATCTGACTTAATTAAAACCTGTTGCATAGTGCTTTCTGAATGGGAAGATATGAATGTATATGTTTTATTCCGTTTGAATTCCTTTCCTGATTTAATCTCTGAGATAAAAAGCAAAAATATTAACCCTGGTGGGTTGTTTACAAAGACTGGAATATTGGCAAAAACAACACCAGTAGAGAAGTATACGTTAGTATTTAGTAAAGACATAATTTTGTTTAATATTTCCCCCAAAATATATAAGTATCATGATTTTATTTTTTCTTTAAAAGGCAAGATATATCCTTCACGTGTAAGTCTGCTTTGTGCCTTGAAAAAGGAAAAATTATTAAAAAGAATGTTAAATGTTCAGACTGTGGCAAAGAGCTTGTGGAAATCGCTCGTTCTAGACTCTCTGGTGAGAAGGTTTATGGACTCTTCCTTAACCCAGACTTCCTACAACCATCAAAGGAATATATGAGAACACAAAGTATTATGGTAGAATTAAGAGGTAGGTATCATTTATGTAACATGTATATGTATGTCCAGAAAATTACTGATTTGTGTCTGTAATTTTTCTATTAATGGATTTATTCAAGGTGATACCTCTTTTATATGATGTACTGTATTGCAATAACATCATAATATATCTTTTAAAAATTAAATGAATTTAAATGGTTTCAAAAAACATTTAAAACAAATTGAATTGTACTTTTTACTAAAAAGTGTTCCTTGTTCCTAAAAAGAAACAAAACGAGCCGCCTTTCGCTTGGCATTCGTCCTATCCTCACTTATGGAAGCAAATCCTGGGCTCTGAAGCAACGTGATTGCAGCAGCCTCCAAAGCATGGAAATGAGGTATCTTAGGAAAGTAGAGGGAAAGACCTAGAGAGACCAGATACATTACAACGATAAGGACTACACTAAAAATTGAACCCCTCAACCAGATAATATAGAAATAGCAGCTTCGATGGTTGGGTCATGAAATGAGGATGGATGACCACCGTTCAGCAAAGAAAATTATGGAGGCTAAACCAGCGGGAAAATGACCTAAATGAAGACCAAGAATTACTTGGGAAGATAACCTCAAGGATATTCTTAAAGACAAAGGAATTGGCTGGCCGGAAGCCAGGAGAGCAGCCATTGACAAAGACGGATGGAAATCCTTGTACAAAAATCTCTACACCGAAAGGTAGAAGAGAATATTGAATAAGAAGCAGAAGAAAAAATGTCTCATTTTTATAAGTATTGGTCCATGCTACATGGTGTGTTGGTACTCAACTTCATAATTTCTCAAAAGCAAACTGCTAAAAAATATTTACTACTAAAAATGCTTACTCCAGTCTAATTAGCCAAATAAAAAAAAAAAAAGTACTAAATAGGTGAAAACAAAACATAAGGGGTGGGAGCTATTTTTACAAATTTTCTTTTATTTAGAGATTTACAAATATACAGAATTAAACTAAATTCTATTCTAGTAAGGTCATTTTTTTAATGCTATGGATATTTTTGACCGTAGATTTAATTTATAGAGGTGTTGATCAGGGTTGATGTAAAAAAAGCCACATAAGATGAGTGAGACTTATATTTATTTGTTACCAATGTTTCAACAAATTTTTTTTTTAAAATGTTAAATTTAAACCAGGTAAAAAAAATAATATTAAGTTAGTACTAAATCCAAGGAGATCTATTTCTACAAGTAGGAGGTGAAAAATGGCAAGTAGGAAACTGGAAGAAGCGTGAATATAGTAAATTAAACGATATAGTAACTTGAAACAGTAATGAATGCTACAGAAGAGAATTTTAAACTGATAGGATTGTTGTAATTTCTCTCTGTAATTTTATTTTTATTATGCTTACTAAGGGGTACCTCCTGTCTGCCTATCAGCGGACCAACTCCATTTTACAAATTATACACTGTTCATTTAATTGTAATACTCATTACCGAAACTTTAATTTACATGTTTTCTGTAGTTCAGATTGCACTATTATTTTTTATCAGCATGAAATAAACTGAACGAAACCACAGTTCTAACAAATTCTTAATCTATTTAAAAATCTATATTATTCTTATTGTCAATTTGTATCCATAATATATATTCAACTTGTCCATCTTCATATAAGACCAACAATAATTTGAGCCTTTAATTTCTAATATATTCATTATACGTTATATTGTGCTTCCTTTTCTATTTCATAGTAATTATAATTATATCACAATTTAATACAATAATATTATTTATAATATTATTAATTAATATATTGTATTCTATGGGAAATGTCTAGATCGAAAAATAACTGCTGTCACTTAGATAAAATCAAACTATCCCCTCCAGATGAATGAAGTTAATTATAATTTTATTGTATATAAATTGATTCTAATTTATAGGCTAATCAGTTAATTAAAAATATTTAAATGATATATTTAATTTATCTTCCTCTCAGGCTTTGCCTAATTATTTAATTTCATATCAATAATGGCTCCATCTCTTATGCACTTGGTTTACTAACATAAAACGGGACAGTTGAATTTGATTGCTGCAATTAATATCATTTTGATTTCCGTAAGCTCACTAGTTTAAGTTGATGATTGAAAAAAAAACAATTCAATTGAAGGTAATTTCATTCCTCCTACCATAGTCAAGTAAAATACTTCTTATTCACAAAATTTATGCAATACTGTGGAAAACACTTTTTACTACCCTTTCATTTTCTTTCTCTTTTTTTTTCCAGATGAACTTTTTATAGGTCTTGAAATAGGCATTAGGTATAATCTTGCATTAACAGTTGAGAAAGATAAGTATCTTGCCTGGGGGATCCAACCTATGTTACCTGACCCTTTGGTAAGAGCTATATCAAACCTGGGCCCTCCCCCTTTTCCTTCAAAAATTTCTCAATTCATAACAATCATTAAGTAAGTGTTCTTATTTTGGTTTTATCTTCTTATTTAAACTCTGATATCTCTGAATATAACATTATCTTAAAAATAATTACAATATCGCAATATTTTCATTAATTTGATTATCTTTATGATTTTTTTTTCATTTTTATGTAAAAGACAAAGTAGTATGTATCGTTAGTCCTAAGACAAAACCAAGTATGCGGAAAAAGTCAAATTTTACTTTTAGAATAAGTTTAAAATTATTTCTGTTCTAAGTTTCCTTCAGACAAAACCATAAATGAACCTCTATAGGTCATTTGTGTAACTAAAACATTACAAGTGAATTCTTTAATGTTTGAAAACATTATAAAACTTTGAATATTGTTTTCTCAATCAAACATTTTACTCATTTGTAGTATTGCATCTGGAATGATGATATTAAAAAATTAAATTATGGCACTTATAAGTATAATATGACTAAATGAAACATCTTGTTTTTCTTTGGTGAGAGGGACGGGGAGAAAGATAGAGGATGAGGCTTCTTGTAGAGGAAATATATTTTTTTAGAAATCTTAGGTAGATATAGTTTTAAGTTTTTGTATTAAATACAATTTTATTAATCTTAATGCTCTCTCAAATTTTCTATAAATGTTGAGCTAGGTTCGCCAATATTTAGTTTACATTTTTAAATGGGCAATCTATAGATTTTCTAAGGACTAAAAATGCAGTCTTCTTTTATTATGATGCTAGTCTCATTTTTACAATATTATAAGCTTGTTAGTGTCTAAATAAATTGCAACCTTATGGTTTAAGGTAAGCATAATAATAATACGAAAAAAACTTTTGTGAATCCGTTACAACTCCTTAAATATACATACTAGTTATTTATTGATGATGCAGTTTTATTTAAACAAAGCATACAGAAGTAGTATATTGACACTTTAATTTGACTATATTTAAAAAACATTTATCGAAATGATTTATATCTTTTTAGCATATTCCAGTAAAGATGACACTTTTATTTTTTAAGGTTATGTTTTAAACTAATCTATATCATTCCCTGACACTCTAGGGAAAACACATACGACTCACCGTGGGCCTTAGTTACAGCCCTTTCTTCTATAATTCCTGGAAATTCTTATCCACTATCTGCTTTTTTACATTTAAAGACTGCTTTACTTCTTAGCCTTGCTTCAATTGTGAGTTTTCTTTCTTAACCTAGTTCTTGTTAATTTTAAATGATTAATATACCAAAGGTTAATGTAATAATCCTCTTTTCGTTTCTTGTATACTTAATTAGTGTAGCAAGTGCCCGGTTCCGATTCTTGCTCTTGGTGATTGTGGAACGTTGATGATGGATGCTTGGTACTGCAGCCCACGAGCCATTTTTTCACCATCAGGCCCAACAAGCCTTCTTTTAGCATCCTATGGAGTCTGTCTTGTTCATGAAAATACTACTGGTCTATCATTTGTTACTACAGGTAATCATTAATGCTCCGGGTATTTCTAATAAATAATAAAGTCAAAAATAAATATATTTGGTATTTGATACTTTTCACTATCTTACGAAATTACTGATAATTTCTAGATATGCCGAACCATACAATTATTAACAATTTGATTGTAAATAGTTTACTATAGAAAGAAAGTGAATTTTACTCTGGGACATTCAGTCCCCTCAAAATAACTATAATGAACAACAAAATAACAATAGTGGCATCAGAATACAATTAAAAATAAATTAATTTACAAAGTTGTCTAATCCTAATATTAAAATAAAGAAAAGACACTAGTAGATATATGATCTTGAAGATAAATATGAATTTAATTAATAATAGACATAAATTTAAAGATAAATATATGAGTGAGCTCACACATTTGTACAAATAAACAATATGGCACTCTGCAAGATATTAGTAAAATGTGGCTGACATATCTAAAATAAAAATAGCAATGAGTAAAAAAATATTGAGAAGATGGAAAAATAAACGATGTTTAAATGAGGTCAAGTATGCGGATTTCTGTATAGAGGTTGGTAGGGAATCCCAAAATGAGGTAGCATGTATGACGAAGGATTTTTTAAAGGAAACAGTTTTATGAGAAGGAATAAACAGATTTTAGGGCTGGGATCTCGTGTTGAACAAATGAACAGAGGAACAAGGAGTAAAGAAATCAAGAAGTTAAGAAGGTTTTTTGGTTGTTAAGGTTCAGAAAAGGAATACACCTAGGAAATATTGCTGCCGAAAAACTGCATAGAGCCACTTCAACTCGGAATAGCAACTGGAGACGTGGGAGTGCCTGAGGAATCAAAGAATGTATTTAACGAAACAATTCATTGGTTATAGTATGTTTTTATTATATTATATATTGATTATGTATAGTTATTTCTGATAGTTTAGTTCCTGATTTATACTCATGATATATTATTAAAAAAATAATAAGTATTTATTCAAAGCTCTTTTATTAGTTCCGTTGGCACAATATTTATTGATCCATGAATTGATAATAGTGATATATTATAATAGTGTCCTGCAACTCTGATACATTTAATTTAAAAGGTTTACAGTTTCATTTTGGGAGGGTTAATATTTATTTGGTGATGAACCCAAAGAAGTTATCTTAATTTGAAAAGGATAGGTTGGAAAGTTTTACAAAAATGTAGGTTAACTAATGTGGGGATGTACTCTAGTTGTAATAAACATGGGCAGGCTTTTAATAATTATATAAAAATAATTTTGTACCACAATTTTGCTAAAGCTTAATATTATAACAAATCCCATATCTTCAAGTGTTTAATTTTTTTTTAATCTATATTTCATTTAGACATTTTCATGACACCATACACTGATGGATTCTCAGCAAGCTGGAAAGAGAGCTTCAGCCCTAAAGCTTTCTCACTCCACCCCCCAAAAAAAAATTGGATTTTTTTTTCAGTAGTCTATATTTTGTTCCTGTGAATGATCTGAAATAAATACTTAAACAATAAAAACATGTTTTCTTTTTAAATTAAAATGCATAAAGAGCTACTAAATGTTAGCTCATGGCATGAAAAAAAAAAAAAAACTATCCCTAAAAGCTTATTGTTCCCATAATTATATTTTTTTTTATTAGGCCTTTTAGGATCACTTAAACATCATTTCTTTTTTTTTCTCAGGGTAATTACTGTTATGTATACAAAAAAATTCTTCTCTTCCCCAAAAATTAAATCCATTTTTGACTTCATATGAAATATTCTATCAGTATATTAATTATTTAAATAGTATATAATTGTATCAGTAGTGATTAGCCATCATATTTAATACAGTTTTATTAATAAACAATTTTTTTTTTGTATTGATAGTAATAAGTTTGTTTTCAAAGTTCAGATTTATAATGCTTTGATATTATTTTTGCTAGTTACGCTTTTTACCATTATACTAAATTTTAACATTTTTTTTTTTAAGCTCTGTTTTATTCATTAATTGCTTAAGATTTTCTATTGTCATTATCTTTCTTTCAACCAGTTATCTTCTTTGAACTACTAAGGGTATGTGTTTTGGGCCTTCTTACTTCTCTTATCCTAATAAGATGGTCACATTGCTATCATAGCTTTTCTTTTTTCTTAGTTATATTATTTCAAATAAATTTGGCTCTCAAAATTTATATTCCGAAAATCCAGATACAGAGAAAATAAGTTCTTGGCATCCTATTGTTTCACTTTCTTTCTATATCTGCTTACATTAAACACAAAAAGTATCGTATTATGATATATTTAATGTATTATAATATATGAATTATTAAAAAAGAATTAAATCTATATAGTTATTTGCCTTTGGATTTTTTTAGCTGTTGAAAGTGAATTGGTTACTATTATCCATCATAAATCATCAAAAGATAAAAGTCATTCCACTTATCCACTAAAAGCTGCTGTTTGGATGTATTGGAACTGTAATAAACATTCTGGACAAGATGTTAATAAACTTAAGACTTTAATTAAGTGAGAATAAAGTTATTTATTTGTTTATTTTGTAAATTATTATATTATTAACGGTTAAGATAGTATAGCCTTTGACCAGGGTAGCTCAACCCAAGGCACACATGCCACAATGTGGCTTAGGGTAGCTCAGGATTCGCACATGGCCTTCAGTCAGTTTTTAAATTTCTTATTCTTCATTTTATTGTTTAAAAAATAAAGTTGGCCCCCCTGTTCACATACATAGGAAATGAATAAGCATACGAAGATGAAAAAGGTACTGCTATTCGGTTCTAGTAACAATGTCTCATTCCTTAATAAGAGAAATCAATTCATTGTGAGCCATAGGTCCAGTTTACTAATTTATTATTTTTTTATGTATTACCAATGATTCGCTTAATATAAAAAGATATCCGTTTAAATCGATTGTTTGCTCAAATTGCATATTTCTAATTAAGACCAAACTGTTTTAATAGTTTCCTGCCTCCAACACAATTTCAAATTTCGACTGTGACATCACTAATGATTGATAACTATAAATTTTGTATTAGTTATAGCACTACTTATTATTTTGATTAGTTGACCCAGAAAATCGTAGTTCTTCCATCAGTTCTTTTTTTTTTTTTTAAATCAAGTTATTCTCTGGAAATGTACATTTTATTAATTAATTATTTGAATTATTATATTCGATTGCAGTATATTTGGTATTCCATTTTTGGATAATATTGATGTTAACGATGAAGAAATTTCTGAACACCTACTCCAGAAAGCTGTCGACAATATTAGCAGTTCAGATGTAATATCGCAAAAAGATTTCAGAAAGGTAGTTGTCAAATCATTGCTATTGAATTATTGTCTGTTCAATGAGAGAATGATAGTGAGAGCAACCTCTTCAATTCTAAGATTGTTTCATGTTTCTCATATAGGCTTACTCATCATAAGGACAGTAGAATAGATATTAAAATGTAATATCGAAGTAGAAATTTAATATTACTTACCACAAGAGGATTGCAACACTGGTATTCTACAATTGAACAGATTATGAAATAAAATAAATAATATAATAAATGCTATGTAATTCAGTTTATAGATATTATTTCCGGCATTAAAGTTACAATGTCCGAAATGGCAGTTAATCTTATAAGGAATTATTTTGTCGCTAATCGCAGAGAAAGACCTGAATGCTTACCATTGAAAGCCATCAAAGTATTGTAAGAGCTTATGATTAATAAATCAATATGATAAAAGGATGATTGCATTATTGGCATTTAATGTTAATCATTTAAGAAGTTTAATATCCCTTAAATAAGTAATGAAAATTTCCCTATCTTATGTTTTTAATTTTCACAAGGCAGTTTTTCTTATTATTGCATTTTTTAAAAGGTATATTGAAACTGTAACAGTTTCAAATATGACTCATATTTTAATAAAGATACTGATTGTATCATTTTATATTGTTGACTGTGATTCGGATTCAACTACAAAACAGATTTCGGTCTTCCTTAGCCATAGTAATTATAATGTAATATAGACTTATTTATCCCTCCTCTTCCCTCGTCCAACATCTCCATGTCACAGTTTTAAGTAAATTAGAATTGGCCTCCCCCATTATATGGGACTGTAAATAATGAAAAAAATCTATAACCATAATTAGAAAAAAGTATTATTACTATAAAAAAAAAGTATTATTATTATTGTTAGAAAGAAGTACCATAATTAGTCATAACTATAAAGGATTCAGTTTTATAACAAAATCATTTATCAATGATGTTGATGTGTGTAGAGGAGATAAAAAATAAATTTATATTGCTAAGAATTGTATTTATCCTTTTATCATAATGAGTTTGTGAATATTATTTTATGTTTTTGTTTAATCCTCGTAATATATTAATACATTCTCTTAGAACAAGTCTTAGTGAATCACATGCCCGATTATCATTAAGAGACACTGTTACTTATGAAGATGCTGTCGCTGCAATTTATCTGTATGAGGAATCGATAAGTATTCTTTTTGGTCCATCCGTCAGTTCAGAATTACCCAAAAGGACTTTAACTGCAAACAGCCCAGTTGAAATAGCCCGCCAGGTAAAACAAATTTTGAATGATAACTTTACTGTATCTTAATCCGTGTATTATGGTATAAATCCATTGTTTTAGATGGATACCATCCTAGGGAAGTTTTCTCTGTGGTTACAGTCTTATACCACAAATCAAAATGGTTCTGTCCTTGATGACAATGATGGAAGCTTCCAGTTTTCAATTGCTTCACCTTCCACTTCCACTGTAAATAGCTTTTCTATTTTTAATTCTTAGATTTAAAATAATGACAGATTCTCCAGTTCATATCTCTGGTTTTTATTTAATTTCATAGTAGCAAACCAAACTTAAATTACAGCTTGAGGGAAAAATGTTATTTTAAATTTCACATTATTATTTATAATTTAATACTTAAATAAAAAATTAATGATATTGTTACTCCAGAATTTATTTTAATCTAATTTGCATCTGATTTGTTTAACATGATTAAAATATTTATATATTTTTTAGTTTTAGTGAGTTAATTATCATTTTATTAAATTGTGTTAATCAAAACTAGTTGGCCCGTGCGAAAAATTCGCAGATAATTTTGTTTAGTGAAGAAATATTAAAACAGTATGGAAATAAGTAGTTCCTATGTATTATCTAAGGAAGGAATTAATATTTTTTCCTTAGTCGAGTATAATATTCCATTAAACATAATAGACCGAAATATTTGTACAAATTGCTTTGCTAGGACCTATTTTTAAACGCTGACTGGAAAGATGATAAAAGTAATAAAGACAAAATAATGCCCCAATCATAGGATATAAAAAATAAAATGTAAGAACAACCAAATGTCTTTAAGAAATAATAAAGTTAATACAAAAGTCAGGAAAAAAGTGTAGTAGACTATTCTACTCCTAAATGCAATATCTCTAAACAGGAAGACATTATTGAATATACCAAAACTAATGGACTGTATCTTTGTTAATAATTGTCCGAATTTTACGATTTCTTTTTTTTTGTTTTGTAGGTAATTTAGTAATCTTTTTTATTATCATGGATACAATCCAGAGAAAAATGCATACTTTTTGAGTTATTCGCAAATAAAGTTTTTTTTTTCTTCCATAACTTTTTTCCCAGAAATTTTGGGGGGATTGGACTATTTTTCGCATGAAAGCAGAAGAATATATTCAAAATGAGTGGTTGATCATTGGATTTGATGAATAAAAAAAAAAACACCTTTAGAAATAATATATATGATTATTAGAAACACCTTTAGAAATAATATATATGATTATTAATAAGTTGGGATAGATAAACACAATGACTTATCTTAATTTTTTGCCACTTAATTTCCTATTTTCTTCCAGATGCACATATAAGGAGATTTTAGCCCTCAATCGATTGGCATCAATTTAATTATGTAACCGTGCCATTTGCTTTCTTTTGTCTAATCTCTTAGATCAAAGGTCTCAAAACTACATGATGCATATCAGTCCCACCAAGTTTTTTTTATTACATTGTTATATTCGCCATGTTTGTTGGTAATATTCGGAAACTTAAAATAATTTTTTGATTTTTATTTCACTTAAAATCTAACTATGGCATGATTTGGTTATTTGTTGGATTTTTAAAAATAAAATTGCTGAACGAACCAAAAATATGTCGTTTAATTTTGAAAACCAGTTATAAAAAGTTTATTAACTATTGTTATTGGAAAAATAAATTTTTTATTATATATCAATATACTTATCAATATCCCAAGTCATGACCAGCAAGACTTAGTGGAGGTATTATATTAATATGCCCTCTGCCTCCTGACTAGCTTAAATTTGACCTATGGTTAATCATTTTCATACCATTATAATTATGAATCACTTAAGATGCCAGATTTACTTTAGAATTTGTATTAAGAATACTAAACTTATTAAAACTATTAAGGAAGGATATTTAAAACTAACCTTATATTTAAAACTAAACTTATTAAGGAAGGATATTTAACTTACAATATAAATAATAACATTTAAAAAAAACTTTTATTAAGAAAATACACAATGCTATATATTCATCTAATGACAAGTCAACATACAGTGTAGGTCGAAAAATAATAAATATTTATAAGTGTATATTTTTATAACTTAATTTGGCAGTGAGAAAGAAGATATACACAACAATAAAAGTAATAGAACATCAAATAAATTAAAATTTAATATCTATAAAGCTTTTGGAAAAATATTGCAGACTAGTTGTAAATGAAATAAACGAAATAAGAATATATTACACATTAATTCTTAAAATTGAAACTCACCTACTGAAAACGATGAACTGCTCAATTAAAAATGAATTCTTCAAAGTTAATATTAAATACAAAATATAAAATGTTAGACATTGTTCTACATGACATTTGTGAGACAAATTAGATTTATTATGAGAAATTTTTAATAATACTCCATGTAGGAAAATTAAAAAAAAAAAAAGACTAAGGAATTTTATTCAAAACAACAGGAATACACAAAGTAATTTTTTAGAAATCTATGAAAAAAGTGCCTACATTGCTTCAGTCTTGAGTTGAGGATGAAAAAAAAAAACAATTATGGATTGACAATCATCAGCCAGAAAGAAGTAAAGGTCACTTCAGGAAGAGGACATGGAAAAGAGGGGAGTGTTATGGAATGACTGACTGAGGAAGATCAAAGATATATTTGGACTAAAACAGCTGAAAGTTATTAGGTAAAATAGTTATCTAACCGAATTTCAATTGATCAATATATTTTTTAATTCAAATTTTAAAAAAATAAGGAGGAGCAAACTGATTCAGTAATTGAGCAGTACATAACTAAAAAAGTAAGAATTTAATTTAAACCAAAACAAATTATAATTATTTGAAACGGCTTCAGTATTTTTTAAATTGACAAATTATTAAAAGTAGTATCAACATTTAAAAAAAAAAAATCACAGTTCGAATAGATGATGATTAAAATTAACTTTTTTGATTTATGTATTATTAAAGCAACTATTGTCAATAGTATAAATTTTTAGAAAAATATATATTTTTATTGCATAATTGAAATTTCATAATCCTTTATTGATTTTAAACATTTACAGTCTGATCAATGAATGATCTCATTTATTTGATAAATTCTGGATAAGAATCCTTATAATTAATTTGCGTAAAGAAGTAATTTTCAATAATAATAAAACTATCTTGCTTCCCAAAAGTCTGAAGAGATATAACTGCAAATATTCCAAATTTTAAGTTTGGATATTAAATCTTGTATGGAGTAAGAGTGGAAGGAAGAAGGCTCGGTAAGAGATGCTTTTGATTGAAGAGGAATGAACCGGAACAGAAAGTCAGCTGGTATAGATCAGGCTCTATAAACAAGATCCTCTACACTAATCAATGGTAGAAGAGGAATAGATTTAGAAGAAGAAGGTATTAAATGATGAATTAAAATTATATTTGCTGAGATCATAACATGGCATATTGATGATCATCTTCAATTTTCCAAAAATAATTATTTGGTAATATTTTATGTTTCTCCCTTAATTTATTATTTCTCAAATTAATAAAAACATCATGTTAATAATGATCAACATTCATTTACATTTTTTTTTTAAGTTTCACAACTGTTTGATACATTAAAACAAAATGTTTTCTATTTAAAATAGAACAAATATGGACCTTAACTAATTGTAAGGCTACTGCAATTTAATAGGGAGTGTATGCATTATTTTAATCCCATCCCTAGTCACAATGTATTTTTCTAAATAATAAAAATAAATTTCAAGAGTAAAAAGAAAAAAATAATTATATTTAAAAAATAACATATATCCATCCTTTACAAACAAATGAATAGTAAACATTTTATGCCCACCCATTCATTCGATCAGACTGTAATGTAGACTTATATTATTTTGTATTTAATACAAATATCTACAAACACAAAACATATACACAAACATATCTTATTTACAAAATCTACTAATATATAATAAGCCATATCATCGGGAAGATACATAGCTTAAGAAATGAACACATCACAATTAATTTAAGGCCCCTTAAAGTAGGTGAAATTTTATTATAATCTGTGGTAAACAACTAAGATATAAAAAGTTATATCAATATAGACAAATCAAGACAAATTATTCTAAAAGCTCGTCAATGGTATTGTTTTCATTCACACCATACTCAGAGAGTAAAATTTTATGGCAGGAGAGTGGTGTACATTAAACCTTAAATTATACAACTACAATCCTTACTCTAAGTACAATGGGTTGTGTGACAGGAGGCGATGGTAATTTAGGTGATACAGGCAGACCTACTATTTCCAGATTGAAAACTGATGAATTATTATGTCTTTTCTTGAAGTGCAATGCCCAAGCGCGGCTGTGTTTTTCCAACTCAAAGTGTCCTCTTTCATTACCTCTTAATATTTTGTAAATGTAATTACCCTAGTAAACAGAAAGAAAAGTAAAACATCATTCTGAGATTTTAAAGTAACACAAATAAATTCAATACGATTTAGATAACAAATTTTTTTTATTAATTTAAGTCTCATTTAGGATTAGTTTTGTTAATGTCAAAATAAGCCTTGATGTTAACTGTGATACATTCACCTAATGAAATAAAAATATTTTTAAAAAAATTAAGATTTCTATGAGATCCAATTGAGTTAGATTAGTTGGGATTTTTTTTTTTTCCTATCGAAAGAGCATGAGGAATATGAGTTATAATATGGGCCAATCTCTAAACTGAGTGCCGAGTTCATTGATAACTGGTTCTAAACTGGACAAAACAGTTTCATTGATAATATCAGAGGCAAGTTTAGAATCTTGCCCTGTAGTTTCTTAATTGATAGGTTATAGACATTTAAGGCATAATTCAATGCCTGCTAATCTATGAGAGAAAGCATAAGAAATCTAACAGATTAAATTTGGGGATTAGGATGTAGAAAGATAAATTACATATTTTTTAAAAATTGAAATACTTCAAATATGAAGGACATTAACCAAAAAAAAAAAAATAGCATCTGATATCAGGACAAATAAAGCGCTATAGCTTGAACTAGAAACCTACGATGAAAATAAACCTTAGGATAAACAGAACTCCATAAATGAGACATACCTTTAATAATAAATAAATTATAAATCATCGTGATCAATAATTACAATTCAAGAGAAAATAAAATTGTATACCTTTACAGTTGGTTGTATTTCCAATATCCTCTTCCTATGTCTTGTTTGTAACTTAGTCAGTCTCAGAACTTTGTATTCCCAATCTGCTTTAGAAAGTTCGGTCAACTGCATTATCTGGTTTGCGTTAGCTTGCTTTCCTCCATGATGCCTTTTATGTCTGGTACCGTTCTGATAGCAAGTATAGCATAAAGTTAAGAAAATTCATATAATTTGTTTAATTCTAAATTTCTTAAAGAGGTAGTTTAGAAAACATTGTAAAACAGGTGAAAGGAACAGTAGTTGTAACCAGGGGTTGAAACTTTTTTAAAAAGCTCCATTTTAAACGTTTCTGGAAAACATTTTTTTGAAAAAAGTTCTATTTTAACAGTTTCTGTGAAAATTTTTAGAAAAACAGTTTTTAAAATCTAAGGAAATTTTTTGTAATAAAGTTCCAAGTTTAAGGTAAAATTTTAACTTTTATTTATTCAAGTTCTTAAAAATAAACAGAAATTGGGCTTAGATTAAAGTTATAAATTGTCTTAAATAAATTAAACATTATTCTTATGTGAAATTTGTTTGAGTATTTATGAATACTGAGATAATGAATAATAAAAAGTAATTTTTTAGATAGACTTTTTAGCGAAATCGACAGAACTTTCAAATAAAAGTATTTTAAAAATAAAGGTTTTGTTAAACCTTTACTTGAAAAGTAGCAAGGGGAAAACTTTTACTTCCAAAACAAGTGAAAAACTATCGCTTATAAAAATCCCGATGATACCAAAAATTTTTAAAAATAAATTTTTTTTTCTGTGTGAAGCCCTGGTTAAAAAAAAATTAATAAAAATATTCTGGAAATAAATAAATATGCCTAAATTAAAAAAAAAAATTAGTAAACAGTATAAAAGTATTTTATCGTACTCACCTTAGGTTTCTTGAAACCTTTAGACTTTATACCATTCATCCAAAAAGGAACTGTTCCATTTGTCATACGCCTTTGCCTTCCGTTAGTCTATAAAATATTAATTTATGAATATTGCAAATATTTATTTAAAATATCATCGATAGAAAAAAAAGAAAATACCTTGCATGAGAAGCAACCCTCGGTTGATATAACTTTGTCTGAAGGTATATGATAAAGGCCTTGTTGAGTAATTAATGAAGGAGTTGAAACTCCAAAATTACTGACTGGATTAATGGTTGCCAAGCAATGTCCCTTAAAATAAAATGTTTTTAATTTAATGCTAACATTTGCATTGAATTTATATTAATACTTGTTCTACTATTTGCTATTTATTTACTACTATAAATACTTTTTATAATGGTTCATACTTAAAAATAACTTAAAATAGACTAAAATATTTACATGATTCTTTCTGTACTTATAATCATTTACTTTAGGATTTAGAAATATATAAAACATACTGACCTGGCCGATTTGTTGATATCCATTAGGACAGCCACACGTGAATCCGTCTCCATTCATTTTTGGTGTACAACCAAAAGAACAGGGGCTACCGATGCAAGCTGAATTCATCTGAAATTCACAAAAAATTTTCGGACAGTAGAAATTGTTTCTAATCATCTGCAATTTATATAATAATTAAATTTAGTTTTTTACCTGTACACAGATCATATTTGCTTCATCGAACTGATAATTATCCGGGCAGGAACACTGGTAACTTCCTAACGTGTTGACACAATTTGCTTGCCCACAGGGGTTTTTCATGCATTCATTGTCATCAATGCACTTGTTATAATATAAGTGTCGTATGTAACCTTCTGGACAGTTACATCTGAAGCTACCAAGCATGTTCTAAAACCAAAAAAAAAATATTGAGTATCTTTGTACATAAAATAGCATACGATTTCTACATTGTAGCAGTAGTTTTCTGATAAAGTACAAAGTATAACATTAAGAAGAAAATAATAATTTTAAATTAGAATTTTAAACTTTTTTTTGTATTTATTTTTTTAATTTTAAGAGTCGCAAAGTATAAATATAAAAAAATTAATTAATTATTATCCACAGACATTTCACAAGTACTTAATCAATCCTCATTTTCTTTTTTTTTTTTAATTTTTATGAAAACATTATTTTATATTTTGATTGTAAATTTTCCTTTTGTTTTATAAATTAGTGCTTTTATTAAATAAAATATTTATAAATGTACAGTTTTTTTACATTTTCTTGATTACTTGTCTGATTCATTCAATCTTGTCATGAATCTCACCGTAAATTTTATCATATGTTAACACCTACAATTAACATAAGTTTCTTCTTATGGAGTTCATATTTTTAAGCTGTTCATAAATTTTCTTGTATATATTATAGCTCATTATAAAATAATTACTTCTTAGATTAGCCATAAGTAAATGCTTTTAAACCTACAATTAGTTTTTTGGTCTCAATTGTAAGCTAAACATTCTTGAGATTATATTGATTCACATAGTAATTATTTGATTAAGAAAATAATTTTAGTAAATATCAGCTAATATTTAGCTTACTTCACAGCCATGCTGACATTTGGAATCATCAGTGCATTCGTCCTCATCTTTGCAGTAATTGTTAGCTTTGTCCATTTTGTAACCCCTTGGGCAAATGCATCGGTAACTACCCAGCGTATTTATGCATTTTCCAGGAGGGATACAAACCCCGACCCCATTGGCACATTCATCAATATCTGTAAAATGATTAGCAAATCAGAACATTTATAACGTAAGAAAAAGAAAAACTTCAAAAATAATTTTTTTAGTCCTCAAATGTTCAATACTGTTGTTTGTTTTTTTTTTTGCTTTTTATAATTTATAAATGAAGTTTTCGTTTTATTCATTCCTAAGCTAAATCATTTCAAATTTAAACAAATAACTTGAAGTTAAAAAATAAATCCTTTCAAAATGTACTAAAATAGTTAATTATTTTATATTAGATGAAAAAAAATAATTTTAGGAGGGTTGTTTCTATGATTAATTTCTCTAAATTATTTTTAATACATATTTTTTTTAGATATCAACTTGTACTCTTACAATTTATAAAATTGCAATACTACTATTATACAACAAAACTACAAAACTAGTTTATTTTAGTGTGTTATTAATAGATTATGAATTGACATTTTTATTCATTACCGAGACAATGGTCCCCTTCTTGCCTATATCCAGGAGGACAAGAGCAACTGTAGCTACCAACAGTGTTGGTACATATGTGTTGGCAGGTGTGTTGTCGAGTGGCACACTCATCCACATCAAAGCACGTTATACCATCAGGAGCGAGTTTGTACCCATTAGGACATGAACAACGATAACTTCCATCAGTATTTTGACAATGAAATTTACATGGACTGGGTCTGTTGTAACATTCATTAATATCTACAAAAAAAAAAAAAAAATCAAATAAAACAAGAAAAATAAATATGAAGAAAAACAGTTTCTATAGATTTTCATTGTTTTGAAAATGTCTAAAAAATATTATTTATATCGACCCAATTTATATTAGTTTTAAATTATATAAATTAAAATATAATAAGCTAAACATAAAAATAAAAATAAAATAAAATATTAAAAGTCACTTGGCTAATTTCATTGTTTACAGAAAAACTAAAACTCAGAGTTAAACTTTATTGAGTAAATTATTTTCTTCACACAAATTCTATTATAAATATATGCATGAAAAATTATGTAAAATGTAGGAGCTCATTAAATAAGATTAAAATTTGAAATTAAATTTTTAAGTAATAGTCAGTAGTACGAGCATCAACACATCATGTTGATGCAATGTGATTGTTGATCGCACTCTCTGACTAAATATTTCTTAACTACAGTTGATCATTTCTATACCATCAGAAATTAAATTATATTTAATTTGGAGTAACTCATCATGGAAAGTAATACAAGCTAATTTAAGGAATAATCTAAATATCCCTAAAACTAACAAGTTTTGAAATGACAATTGAATATTTTTCAGCAAGTTAAAACTATTGAATCACAGCAGAATTTATTGGCAAAAAGGATGTATAGGCCTTCTTGCCGGACTTAGGCCCCCCACCAGTACCAATATCAGCAGAATATAGTGTGTCTTAGATAAGTTTGCCTGTAGGGGAAGAGAGCTCGTGGAGTCTTTCCACTCTCAAGCTCCAACTTCTCACCTCACCATAGCAATTACCTCATACCAAGAATACGTTTAGATCTTCTAAAGTTTAATTTCGTAAAAGAAATTAAAACAAAAATGATTAAAGAAATTTCTATATATTAAAAAAAAAAAAAAAAAAAATCCCCCTCTGCTCACTGACAAAATTATCTTAGACGGATTCCACATTATCAAACAAACACTTATCCTAACTGAAAACAGGTTTTCAAATAGTTTCCATTTTTATAGAACGTTTATTTTTTTATTTTTTTTTCCTTTCGGCATAATAAAACAATATTTATTCATTACTTTATGATTCATTTTTTCTGAAGCAACTCGATACAACAATCATATAAGCTATAATTATTTAAAATGATTATATTATTTAATGTATTAATTTAAAACCAGTGGTACTTATTTGTTATGCTTGTTACTTTTGATATAGAATAGAATAGAATAGAAAATAATTTTATTCTGGAACGAAGTCCCTTTAGAATAACAAAAAAGTACAAAATACAAAATTGGCGCTATAAAAATATAAAACCATACCTCGGCAACTAGTACCGGTATAATCTAACTTGTATCCTTTATTACAGATGCATTTATAAGAACCTAAACTGTTAATACAACGGCCATTTTTGCATAGATCAGGTAGTGCTTTGCACTCGTCAATATCTGTGAAAAAAAATTAAATTATATAAAATTTGCAATATTTTCAGCAAGAAGCTGTTATTTTTAAGTTATAAAATACCTTGGCCATCAATGTTGATGCCTGCTTCCAAACACAAGTCTGTATAATTGAGCGAATGAGGAGGAGGGCATGGTTCACACATTGGACCCCAAGCAGCACCCATTGTACAGCAGCAATCTGCACGCGTAACTTGTTTCTCGCTCAACTCAGTCCCGCACTGGCCTCTTATATAAGACCTAAAGCAGTTTCCTACTCGTTCATCTGCAATGAGAAATCACTATTAAAATATAATATGCTCTTCCTATAACATACTACAAATAATATTTATATTAGTATTAGAAGGATTTTCTTTTTTCAAAGCTACATTACAAAATGAAATACCGCATTTAGATATAATAATGAAATTAAGGCAAAACTAACCTAAACAATGAGATCCGTCTGGACTTCTCTTGAATCCAGGGTAACAGTCACACCTATAGCTTCCTTCAGTATTAAAACATCGCCCATTCTGGCAAATATCAGGAGTAGTTGAGCACTCATCAATATCCTGGCAGTCGTCTGACATGTCTACCTATTATATTAATAGAGACAAATTTCAATATTAGAACCTTAAATTAACATTAATTTATTAAAACAAATATCATGGAGATATTTGTAGCTTAGTAAGAAGCAAAATGCCAAAGAAAAGAGCCATTCTAATAAAAATAGGCACTTTTGCATACTAATGTTTATTTAAATTTGAAATATATCTGAATTATGCTCTACTAAAGCATTCATTTGATTATAAAAGTGAATATAAAGTATAAAAAACCCACTTTATAAGTGTTCGCTTCTATGAAAATGACCTCAATATTTTTTAATTTATATTATTGGACTTTTTGAGAGCATTTTCTATTTTATTTATTTATTTTTTAATAAATATAAGCAATAATGAACTAGATTTATCTTTAAAAAAATTTTTAAAGAAATTCCACCAATATTAAAATTTTAAAAAATTGATTCAATTACATATGAAAATAGGAGATTTATGAATCATATGCATTCATAAACACATAATATAATTTTTCAATGTGAAATTTCCAAAATAAAAGCCACAAACGATAGTCCTTATATGCTTCAATGAATTTTAGGAAGAGAGAATTAGAAAAAGAACCTAGAAACTTATAGGCATCTAGAATCAAATTACAATAACTTTTAGAACATTAACAGTAACTTTAAATAAAATATCAGATATGAAACTTTACTGAGGAAAGAAAAGACGTGACAAATCTCAAGAAAATAAGGATTTGACAAAAGTATCTCATATTGTTTTAACATAATATAAAACATTAATTTAAAACTATTGCTAGAAAATGAATACATGATTTCATTGGATATTTTTAATGATATATATAAATAATAAATATATACCTGTAAAGAGAAATATATGATAAACATTTAATTGTTTTATTTTAATTTAATTGACTAAGGACAAATAGAATAACTAAAAAGTCAACCGAGAAATAAAATAGAAAAAAAAATTTATGAAATTAGATATTAATGTAAAATTGGCATACCGTTGAATACCCTTCTGGACAAATGCATGTAAATGAACCAATCATATTTTTGCATTGAAATTTACAGTTATTCGCTGGTGTCAAACACTCATCAACATCTGTGAAGAAAATAATTTATGAATTAATTATAGATCTAAAATATTACAGTTTTAAAAAATATATTAAACACTATTTCATAATTGAAATCAGTAACAATACAGTGTGAAAATTGATTTTAAAATAATATATTTTACACAGGCTAAACAAATAGCATTAATTTAAAATAAATATACTAAACACAGACTAATCAAATGTCCAATAATTTTAATGACTAGGAAAATGCTTACCACGGCAGTGTCTTCCATCTGGTGCCAGAGTGTAGCCGTAAGGACAAATACATCTAAAGGAGCCAGGAACATTGTGACAACGAAATGCACACTGATTGCTCAATTCTTGACATTCATTGATGTCTTCACATGTCTATGATCAGTAAAAAATTAGTAAATGAAAGTTAACTAGAGCATAAAAAAAAAATGTGTATGAGTGGGTTTATGTATGTTAATACAATATACCTGCATTGGTCCTGGGGCAAATCCAAAATTACAACTGCACTCAAAACCTCCTTCAACATTTGTACATGTACCGTTACCACAAATATTATTAGAATGAAGACATTCATTGTCATCTGTAAATCGAATAAGAATATTAAAATTAAATATAGTATATTAAATCTAAAAAACGTTCTGTCAGATATGGCATAAATGAAAACGTTTGGCCCCCTGATGTCGTGTTATATTGTTATTTTTTTGTGAAATCAGAAGACAACTTATGTTTTTTTTTTTTTGTTTCTGCAAATTGTTTTATCTATTTAATACATTAGTGTATATACTTTTGAAGTGAATATAACACCTGCATTATTTTTCAAATAAAAGCCAGCAAGTTCAGTACTTGAACTGTCAATAGTCTTCACAGTTAAGACATAATTTTCAGTGTACAAGATACTCACCAACACAATGCTTCCCGGTAGAATCCAGTATGTACCCTGAAGGACATTCACACCTAAAGGAACCATCAGTGTTGATACAATCTCCTCCACTACAGGCGTTTGGCATTATTGCACATTCATCCAAGTCATGACCAGTATCTTCTCTACCGGGCCCTTGCGGGCAAAGCTGCAGAAATTCATCTGTATAAAAATAATAAAAATATTACTTCAAATCCTTATTATAAATATAAATTTTATTAAGTATATAGTTTTAACATTTGTTTATATTTATATCTGTAACTGCTTTCAATATATGTGATATTCAGTCTCAACAATAGAAGATAAAAATTGACTGTAGGAGAAGGTAAAAAATTACCTTACTTTGATATATTTCTGATAATCAATAGAAAAACTTTTGATAAATGTCTGGGCTCAACTCACTACATTAACTAACACTAAATCAAATTAAGATACTTGTAACAAAAGAGAGGGTTTTTCTTCATCCTTCTAGACATTCTAACTGGCAGATATTCAAATAATTTTCATAATCAGTCGATTCACTAAGTACTTTAAAATCATTTAACAAGAATTGGGCCATAAGTTTCAGCCTATAACAATGCAGGACTATAAATATTGAGGGCACTAAGTGAAGATCAGACAAAGATGTCATAATCATAGGATTTATTGATTTTCATCAGCATTTAGGGAACATAAATCTCAAGCTGTTCTATCAATACTTAAAACATTCTTACCTATTCTATGATCTAAAAACTTAAAAAGTAGATCGATCCTCTGAATAGCAGTTAAAGGTTTATGGGATGATTTCATTTCTCTGAAGGATTAAGGGAGAAGGAATAATGATGACCCAGAAGATGGTGAGTTATATTTAAAAAAAAAATGTCAAATATGACTTATTAACAAGAGCATGAAGTTATCATTGCATTCTAAGCGAAACAAATATTACAACATATGGATATTCAAAAATGTTAAAATTTATATGAAATATGCTGTAGATAAATCTATTATTTAAAATAATAATTTTAATTATTTAACTGTAGTTATGAATTTATCACATGCCATGTGTTCAAAAATACAAGATACAATAGTTGTTTGCAAAAGGAATAAACATGATGGCATGTGCCAGTACATGGAAAAATATATTGAAATAACGTTTCATTTGCACTGAAGAAAATCTACGAAGCTATTAGATAATCCGGAAATCCTTGATATTAAGCAGATAAAGTATAGTTGAAGAGAATAATCTTAATGTGTAAAAATATAATAATTAACTGATACAATCTAATTATCATAATAATTAAAATAGAGTACCTGTTCCTTCTTCAGGACATGGAAGGCAGTCAGTACCCCATCCCATTCCCATGGAACAGCAACATTCTTTCATTGTGATAGTTTTCATTCTTGGGCTTGAGCAATATCCTACAACAAATTAAATATTCTCTAGTCAAAACTAAAAATCCGTTGAATTGGAAACATGAATCTGTATAACTAACTTAAGATTAACATACTGATAAAAACATAACTTTGCTTTAGCATAGAGCACAAAGCAATTAAATTATTTGTACTGACTGAAAAATATTTACAGGATTTCAAACAGCTCTTTATTGTCTGATAGAGATGCCTAAAATGCATTGAGATGCTATTCTCTATAATTGGCAAGAAATTAAGAAAATAAATGAAAATTAAAATGATCAGACATATATATTTTAATATTAATTCTTCATTAAATTAAGATTGACTTGTTTTAAATAAATTATGGTCCATGCAAGTTAAATCATCCTCATAACCCAATTTCTTGATATTTATCATCATATTTGTGAAATGTATATCTATACAATACCCACAAATATATCTATACGTATATACTATGTTACCTATAAGAGCGCTACTACCAAAATCTATTTTTCAAATCTAGTATGTTTTAGATGATGATAAAAATACTAGATTTTATTTTGCTATTACCTTGGTCCATAGTATCATAACATAGATTTTTCCTCATGTCGATACATTTCATTCCAGTGTCCGATAAAATAAAACCTTCAGGACAATGACAGATCATACCTCCAATGGTGTTATTACAAATACCTCCTTCACAAATTCCTTTTCTTTCAAGGCACTCATCGATATCTTTAATAAAGAAAAATTAAAATTAGTTAATCAAGGTAATAAAGAAAAATGTCCCGAATTCATGTGTTTATATTAAATGTTATGCTACTCTATTTAATTTTAAATGAAATACATTAATTAGAATCAATCAACCTACCAACACAGCTCTTTCTGTCAGGAGAAAGCCGATAACCTGGAGGGCAAGAGCAAATAAAGGAACCAATAGTGTTCTGGCAGCGTCCAGGTGGCAAACATATGTCGTCCGTCTAGAACAAATTTTTTCCAAATATGACTTACTTAATACTTAAAGACACTATTTCTTTTTAAGAAATAATAAATAATCTCATACACAATATATACAACTCATACAATATGCTTTAACATCATACCTGACCATTTTTAATTGTTTAAAGTAATGAGTTGATTCAATAAAAAACTTCAGGTTTCAACTTTCAGATACCTTAAAGTGTATGGTCTGCTGATTGCTTAGGTTTGTTTCAAATTTTCATAAACGTGAAAAATTAAGTTATTTATTTGCTTTGACTATTTATTTTATAAAATGCAAAGGATCTAACGGATTGGAGAAAGTTGCAACTAATGTTTATTTTATTTTCCATTTAAAAAGAATTTTGTTTTCCAAACGCAAGGGATAATATTTGCAGAAAAAGTAACCACTCTCCATCAACTAGATTACAGTCAAAAGCCATGATTGATGTGTTTTAACTATAAAAGATTTTAAGTCAATATATTTTTTTTTAATTTATTCATCATATAACTCTATCAAACATTTTGACTATTAGTTCAAAAATAAATTCTAGTTTGTACAAGTATTCAAAAGCTGTAATATATACCTCAGAACATTCATTAATATCTCTGCAGTATTGTTGATCTGGTGCTAATGTGTAACCTTCAAAACATTCACATTTGAATGAACCAACTGTATTTCTGCATCTTCCATTTTTACAAAGAAGTGGCATTACATGACACTCATCAACATCTACAAAAAGGTTTAATTCCATTATGTTTAAAGATAATTAGGCATTTATAATTATAAATTATTAAGGTGTTGGTTCATGGGGTACCCTTGTGCAACAGTGACAAAACTTGAGGAGTAGGGGTTGGAATGATATTGATGTTACTAATAGTGCTCAAACCATTCAGATATTTAAAAAATCCATAAGAAAATTTTCAGTTTAGAATATTTAGATAAACTATTGTTAACCTGAACTGATAATTGTTATATTATATAATAATATTTACTTCCAATTTTCTCAATATTTAGGTTGTGAACAACCAACTAATCCACAAGTTTTAAACATACATTGTTTCTTTATTTATTTGCATTGATGGATCAAAATGAAATGGTAGATTTTAATTTTTTTTTTCTTTTTCTTCTATGCTTATGCTTATTGTTGTAATCATTCTTCTTATAAGGGTGTTATGAATCTGTGGCATTATTCTGGTTTTGATCTGTAATGGCTCTTATCCACCAGTTAACTAGTGATTTCTAGCATGCAAGAAGTAGCCTTTTTTCTATTGGTGAGTTACTGTGTCTGTCTAATTTTTTTATACAATTTTTGGTAGATATAATCATTAATTGTTGATATATGTAAGATAAATCTTAATCATAATTTTTTTATTATTAAGATTAAACAAAGACTTTTTATGGTTTTATTAGAACCAAGCGTCACAATAACTAGCTAACTCCACGTTTCTTTGATAAATTTGGACTGATTATAATTATAAACTCTTAAATCTAAATGAACTACCTCATAAAAAATGAAAGACAGAGAATAGATTAATTTATTCTCTTTTAATTCAACTTACCAATACAGTCATTATTGTGGCTAAGTTTGAAACCTGGGTGACAGGCACAAGAAAATGAACCCTCACTATTCGAGCATGTGCCGTTGTTGCAGATATTAGGGTGGCGTGCGCATTCATTAATGTCAACACAAGCATCCCTGTTAGTTGACAATGAATAACCAGATGGGCAAACGCATTGGAAACTGCCTTGAAAGTTCTTGCATGAGCCATGAGCACAGACTCCAGGTTTTTCAATGCATTCATCCACATCTATAAATCAAATGCATTACATAAATAAATTCTAAGGATAATGTAATACATGGAATTTACATTAAATAAAGAAAAATTAAGTTAAATATTAGTATCTACAATATCTTAATTATAAACTATTCCAATTTTTTAATAAAAAATATACTTTTATTGGTCAATCTAACCAGAGAAATATTATTAAAATAAGGATGTTAATCCTTGAATAAATAAAAACCAAAGTCTTTGGTTGGTTTAGTTTGGACATGACATTAAATTGTCAGTCCTAATAATATGATATTGATTTAGATATGATTTTAAATTAACACAACAATTGTTTTCTTTCAGTTGAAAATTAATAGTTCTCAACTAATATATATCAAAATAAAATATAATTGTTTATCAAATTACCAACGCAATCTCTGTAGGATACACCTAGTTTGTAACCATCAGGACAAAGACAATGAAAGCTGCCTTGACTGTTCACACACTCTGAATTACCTCTACATGGGGATGGGCTTCGTAAACATTCATTTTCGTCTAGAATTTACCATAATGAATTAGCTGGTTAATAATATAATATTACAATTAAAAATCTTATCAAACTAAAATAATTTCATGACAAGTACACTAAAAGGTACTCAGTATAGAATAACATCAATAAAAAAAAAATTAACACATTCACTTGAAATTTTTCCTTTAATTATCGATAGCAATTATGGGTTTTTAAAAAATGTTTATTGATACAGTAATGATATAAAAATAATATTTCAAAATTAACAAGCCAGAAATTTAAATAGTAATAATAGCCAGTGCCGGGCTTAGGGTGGGGCAACCAGGGCAATTGCTCCAGGGTGCCGACATGAAGTGGGGCCCCGTTCTGGGCGCCAGCTGATCATGAGAACTTGTCACTTGTAAGAAATTTTAAAAAATAAAATAAAACGTATCAAAATAGTTAATTTTAGCTTATCAATAAAGCAGCTGTATTAGAGAAATGTTTAATGAAATAAAATTCAAATATTATATAATATAAAACAGCTTAAGAAATTAATTTAATTTTTTTTAGGGGGAGATGACATCATTGCTCAGGAGTGCCAAATGTCAAAGCAGTGATAATAGCTTTTTAACAACTATAGCCTCATAAAATATATTTAAAAAAAAAAATAGTAATTTGAATAAAAAGGACTAAAAAACACTTTTCAAAAAGTTATAAATTTTACTTTTTACGATATTTTAAAGATACTAGATATTTCACGATATTATAGTGTGATATCATAGAGCTGAATGAATTTGGAAAAGATGAAACTATTTAGAAATAAATTCAAATAAACAACATGAGATTACAATAAAATTACAATCCAAGGTAATAGTATTATGTTAAAGAAGGGAAAGAAAGTTTTTCTAATATCCAATGCTATTAAAGGATTAATAGTATATATATATATATATATATATATATATACATATACATCTGTCAAACAGAGGGAATATTCAAATATAATAATATCAGCTTTGGCAGAGAGTGAATTATTTATCTAAAAAAATTTACCAATACACAAATGAGATTCTTGATCGTATGAGAAGCCTCTATTACAAAGACACTCAAAACTGCCTGGAGTGTTCATGCATTTTCCGTTAGTGCACAAAGTAGGCATCATAGAACATTCATCTATGAATATTGTCTTGTTTGTCATGGGGTCAACTAAATCACCATGTCCACAAAGATCAATGTATTCCCCTGGAAAATCCATATTCATAAGTTAAATAAAAAGTATATGAGAATTAACTGTAAGATGAATATGTATTGATTAATCAGTTTTAAAATAAATGTTTATAAAGTCTCTGATATAAGAAATGATATGCTCACAATCAAACCTCCTAATCTTTAAAATTATTGTAATTAATGAATATTTGTATACAAAATATTTTTATTTTAATTAAATTTCGTACTTGAACCAGGTGTTGGGCACTTCTGACATGGGGTTCCCCAAGCTGCTCCCATTGAGCAGCAACAGAGCATCCGTGTTTGTTTCATCATCATTGGGTGTGAGCATTCACTGCCGTGGATAGATGTATAGCATTGTTCCATGCGCATATCGACACAACCCTCTGTCAATTAAAAAAATGTTTGTAATTCCCTAAGTTCATAAAACAGATATTTAACTTCAATTTTAAATTTTGATTACTTACTTCCATTGGGTAATAGCATATAATGGTCAGGACAAATGCAATGAAAAGAACCATCTTCATTAACACAAAATCCAACAGGTCCACAAGTATGAATATTTTCATTACATTCATCAATGTCTAAAAAATAAACATATAAGAAAAAAAATAATGAATTTCACTTTCTAAATATTACTATTAATAGTAACCATTTAAAAAACAAAAAAGAAAAAAGTTAACATATCTTCTTTTTTGTGTGTGTGCTAATTGGATTACCTCTGCTAGTATACTCTGGGTTCTCTTTTAGCAGTGATTGATTTTTTCTGTTGATTTGTAAATTAGAAACTAAAATCTAACCTTATTACTACTCTCTTCTACTCTTTTATTTTATATTCAATCTAACAAGTCAATGGGCAGATATTTATTTATGAACATATATATTATATGTTATATGGTAAAGATATTTTTATAAAATTGATAGATGTTGATTTAAGTCAGAGTACAAAGAAAGACTTTTTGTAGAATTTAGGGAGATGCATACAATAATTATTTTAGAATAAAGAAAGAAATGACCCAGATGGCAGTCAAGAATAACAAAACCATGTGAAATATTCATTAAATGACCTACATTGTAAGTCTTCTTCAGAGTTGAATTGGAAGATAAGTAGGCATGAAGTGAGGTTTGGTCAAAATGCCAGTATTTAATGATTATATCCCATTATATTATGTTTTTCTTGATTGCCATTCAGATCATCTTGATTTACAATACGGACAACTATCAATAGAAAATTATATAAAAGAAAATTTGTAGTGTTTTAATGTTTAATTTTTATATTGAAAAATCTTAAACAGACAGATAACACGATAAAATAAGAGACTGTAACTTCATATATTTTTATTTACTTTTTTTATGAATCATGAATGATAAAAATCCGAATGAAAAGACATGTTTTAATCTATAAAAATACTAATTCATTATTTTGGTTAAAAATTTTCTATTCTTAAAACCAAATCCTACTACTTTTATCTTTTATTTAATCAACAAAATTTTTGTTTTAATTATTTGTACCTATGTATAGTATTTAAATTTCTTTGCCTTTGTAATACTTTTTTATTTAATAATATATTTTTTTAAATATAAATATTTTATAAAAATAAAAAACTGATACCACTAAAGGAATCATGGTTTGATCTTAATCTACTTACATACCAACACATATAGCAGTGGTGTTACTAAGCCTGAAACCATCACTACAGGAGCACATGTAGCTGCCAAAAGTATTAGTGCAATGGCCATTTTTACATAAATTATCATGCTCGACACATTCATTTATATCTTCTAAGCCTACCTGAAATCATTAATAAATTGGGATCATTGTTATTAATACTTACTAACACAAATATTTAGTATTAAAACATAATTATTATCAATAATTTATTTATATATCCGTACTAGTATAATAATACAGTGTGATCTAAGCATTTATGTATTCATAACTTATATATCATTGGCTTACAATTGCCACAATCTGTAAATATATTAAGTCAAAAATTTTCAGTTTTTTAGTTTTTCTGGTTTAAAATGTTGATTTCTTTAGACTGTTGAAAGACATCAAGCATATCTTTGTAAAAAAAAAAAAAAGATTATTTTTACTATGGGAAGTACATTACAAAACAATATAACTTGTAATACTTCAATTCTTGAAGCGTCTTGGGTTCAATACTGTGTAAGGAAGTACTGTTTCTTGGTTAACGGTTGTGCAAGGAGGTGTCGACCCACTGCTGACAAAACAGAATAAATAATTTATCGACCATCAGCTGGTCTCAAATCTTTATAATTGGAAGTCAGCTCCCTACAACTAAGCCACCTCACTCCCTACAAAACAATGCTAAACTATAAAGTAGATAGATAGATAGATAGAAGAATCAACTTTATTCTGGGACTACGTCCCTTGAGAATAACAATATTGTACATAAAATTAAACATTACATCTGGCCAAAATGTATATTACAATAAACAAAAACAAACAAACAAACAAAAAAAACAACTAAAAAATAAGGGATAAAAGAAGTGTTTACATAACTGTACAGATATCGGAAGCCATAATATGAGAAATAATGTCCTAATACTGCAAAATAGTTGCTATACACAATACGCTATGAAATTATAAATGAGCGACAAATAATAATAAAGATGTTATAGTAATAGTAGTATGTTCGTAGAACATAATAGTATAATCGAAATACAATAATAGTGTAATCGTACATACACAATATATACACCCAATAATACAATAATAGTGAGAATACAATAATAGTACAATAGTATATATACAATATACATATATTAATATATATATATACATATACATACATACACATATACATACATACAATGCAACAATAGTATAATAATACAATATAGGCTACCCAGCGTCTGATTGAATTGTAAGGAGGAATTGGAAAAGGAGGGTTTTAAATGTGGATAAGGATGGTGCATGGCGGATTTTAAGTGGGATGGAATTCCAAAATGTGGTGGATCGGACAATAAAGGAGTGTTGAAATGAGGCCGATTTGTGGAAAGGGGTATAAAGGTCGGAAGGACGAGATCTTGTGGAGAGGGAGTGGATAGATGACTTGAATTGAAGGAGATTGAATGCGTAGGACGGACGATGATTATAGATTATTTGGTAAAGGAATGTACCTAGGAAGTACTGTCTTCTGAAGGAGGGGAAGAGCCACCCTGACTCGGCGTAGTAGTGGGAAACATGAGAACGTCTCGGGGTCCCATTGACAAATCGTACTAAGCCATTCATTATTCTTTTCAGTCTGACTCCAAGTTCCGATGAGAGGCCACCGTACACTACACAGCCGTAGTCAATGTGGGGGAAGATGAGGGCGGATACTAGGAGTCTACGTGTGGATATGGGTAGGAGATGGCGGAAGCGATGGAAGAGTTTCAGGATGGAAATTGAACGTCGGGATATGAGGGAAATATGGTGATTCCAGGAGAGGGTTTGATCTATGATAACACCTAAGTTTTTAACTGAAGTGTTGAAGGTGATGGGTTGGTCATTCAGGTACAGGAGAGGAATGTTGGTATTTGATCTGAGAAGGGGTTTGGAACCGAGGACAATGGCTTGGGTTTTAGCAACGTTTAACCTTAATCCATTTTCACTTGCCCAGGCACAAATCCGATTTAGGTCTTCTTGTATTTTGGCAAACGCATCATGCCATTCAGAGGGAGCGAAGGAGAGGTAAATTTGGGAATCATCGGCATAAAGGTGATGTGAACAGTGAAGGATTGATTTATGAAGGTCGTTAATATATGAACTAAAAAGGAGAGGAGATATGCTGGAGCCCTGTGCCACTCCTGAGGACAGAGTTAGATAGGATGATAAAGGTTGGTTCGGGATAGAGACTGCTTGGGTACGTTGAGAGAGGAATGATTGAAACCAAAGGATAGAGCTGTTGGAAAAGGATAACGATTTCAATTTGGAGAAAAGGATGGAATGGTTAATGGTATCAAAGGCTTTGGAAAAGTCCAGGAGGATAAGGACCGTTAGTTTTTTATCATCTATGGCTGACTGAACATCACTAACGATTTTGATTAGGGCGGATTGTGTGGAGTAGCCTGGTCGAAAACCAGACTGGTAAGGGTCAAGTTGATTGGACTGTTCTAGGAAGTTGGAAATTTGGGATTGGACTATTCGTTCTAGAGGTTTTGCAAGGTTAGACAGAATTGAAATTGGACGGTAATCTTCAGGGGAAGAAGGGTTAGGATTTTTAAGTAAAGGACGGACAATGGCTTTTTTCCATGAGGAAGGGAATATTGCGTTCTGAAGGGAGAAATTGTAGATGAAAAGTAGAGCGGGAAGGATTTCAGGTAGGCATAATTTGATTAATTTGACGGGAATACCATCTGGACCAATGGAATTGGAATGAGATTTCATGACGGCGGATATGAGGTCTGTAGGAGAAATATCTGAAAAATAAAAGTTGTCGTCGTTAAATGATATTCCAGGAGTAAAGAAGGAAAAGGTTGATGGAGGAATGCAGGAGGAAGCTGATATAAAATATGAATTTAAATCATCAGGTTTGACTGGAAAGGCTGCTGAGGAAGGTGATCTGGAAGAGTCACAGAGGGAGAGTTTACGAAGGAGTTGCCATTTGGTTTTGGAATCAGGAGCTGCTGAAAGGGCTTCGTGGAAATAGGAGGATTTGGCTCTTCGGATATTGGTTTGTGTCAGGTTACGGAGCACCCTAAACGCTTGGTAGTCGTCAGCGAGTCTAGTGCGTCTAAAGCGTCTGCGGGCTGCATCGCGTCTCTTCTGAAGATCTTTAATTTGCTGACACATCCAGGGAGCAGGGGGGCGACGAAAGGTAGAGGTTTTGATGGGAGCATGGGAATCAAGGATATTACGGAGGTTGGAAGTTAAAATATCAACCATAGCGTCAATACATGAACAGGAATATATTCCATTCCAATCAAGGGTTTCCAGGTAGGGTAAGATTTTTTCACGAGTGAGGACATCAATATTACGGAAAGTTATGGTTCTAGGTAGGATCGGAGGAGTATGGATATTATATGAAATTTGAATTAGGTCATGAGAGGATAAAAAGGAGACCGGTACTTGTGAGGAGGAAAGGAGGTTCTGAGCGGAGTCGATAATGTAATGGTCCAACCAGGTATCGGACCTGGGGGTGTGATGAGTGGGCGAAAAAGGAACAATGAAAAGATGAAGAGAGAAAAAAAGGTTTTCGAGGTATGATTTATCGCTGGAATCGGAAAGGAAATTAGTGTTTAGGTCTCCGGAGATGATTATTTTGGTATAAAGAGGAACAAAGTTGAAGAGGGATGATTCAAATGATGGATCAAAGGGAACAAGAGGAGGTCTATACACTACGACATAAAGGATAGGAGATGTATCAAAGGAAATTTCAGCGATTAGGAACTCTACATGTGGGTGATCGGATGGAGGAGAGCAGTGGAGTATTCGGGTCTTCATGCATTCGTGAACATACAACGCTACACCTCCGCCAGTCCGGCTCGTCCGGTCGTGGCGGATTAGTGTGTAGTTAGGAAGGGAAACAGATGAGGAAGGGATGTAAGGCTTGAGCCAGGTTTCGGAAATTGCAATGATATGGTAACAATTATGGGTAAAGTATTCAAGGAATTCATCATAGTGGGCTGGGAGGGATTGGGAGTTGACGTGACAGGTATTAAGGATGCTAGACATGATTAGGCTTGAGGAAAATAAAGTCAGAATTTGGTGAGCAGACGCTGGATCGGATATGATACATTAGATGAAATAATGTAAAAATAAAAATATAAGAAAAAAAACCATTAAAAAGAAAAAAAATTTTGAATGCAATAATCAATAGAAATAAATTAATCAAAAATTTCCGGTAGTAACATAACATACATTTCAGATTTTCAGTGTAAGTCCTGTGAACTAAGCCAAATTGTTTATCGATGTTGAGGAGTAAACAGGGATCGAAGAGTCAGCCGAAGACGTCTAGGTCTTGACTCTGGTCGATAAAGACAACCTGATGACCGTCATCCTTTCGACACCGCAGTCTGCCGCCGGAGAACCATATATATTTTATTTTCCCTGCTGATTTCTTCTGCCGAGCGAGCCAGTAGAGGTACCTGTTCGTCGGGGTCATTTCCTCGCTGAGATAAATACGGTGGCAGTCATTTTCCTGCCAACCGATTTCCCGCGTCGAGAAGTCCCTTTTTACTTTTCGCTTCTGCACCAGGTCGTCTCTCACTGACTGCCTGACGAATTTCGCGATTATAGGCGGTGGTCGAGGGTCATCTTTTCTTGCTCTTCGGCGCAGCACAGTATCTATATCTTCGACATTGATTTTAATTCCCAGACCGGCCCCAATACTTGTAACCAGGGCTGCGGGGGTCTCACCTGCTCGAACCGGGATGCCCCGTATCTCGAGCGATCTACTAAGCAAGCCCTGTTCGGCTTTAATTGCCTTAAGTAGTAGATATATTGAACATAAAAGAAAGGCTCTACATAATAGAACATTTTTTTCCCAACCCTTTCTCACTGTTTAGACTATATGAGGTTTTTCTGGGCCAGAGGAGAGGTCAGGGATTAATGCCAGAGTCAAAAGGCCCCCTACTTTCTTCTCATCTTCCCAAATTCGCTTTGGCATATCCCTCAGATGTTTGCTTATTAGTACAGCACATATGAACTTCTTAAGAAATTGTTTGTTTTTAAGGCCAGCAATTTTACCTGCCCATTTTATTCACCTCAACATAATCAGCTCAATTAAATTAACCAGCTGGTACAATTTATGCAATTCAGTGTTGTGTAACTGCCTAAATTCTCCAGTTGACTCATCCTTCTTCGGTCCGAATATTCTACACAACATTTTATTTTCAAAAACCTTAAAACTTTGCTCATCCCATAATGTAGATTCATTAATAATAACATATATGAAATAATATTTTTATAAATATATCAAATTACCGTCACAACATTCGGACTGTAGCCAGTTCCTCCAGGACAGAGATCTTTGTATTCTTTGGTACCCTGTTCAGGACAAAGTTCACAACTTAAACCCCAGGCCCTTCCGAGAGAACAGCAGCACGTTGCTTTTGTCATTGGACCACCTGTTTCTTTAGAACACCTCGGGCCACGACCTGGCAGAGGCTCTACATTTAAGTAGCATCTGGACTCCCTTTTGTCTGAACACAGAATAAAAAAAAAATAATATAATAAATTATGTGGTAATAATAAATTAGAATTCATATTTTAAAAAATTACATTAACAGAGCAGAAAAAAAAAAAAGACATTTTTTAACATTCTATAATAAATTAGATAAAACCAGTGAGGTTTAGCAACAGATGCAGAGCTCATCCTATAGCATAAAGACAGTAATTAACATTTTACAAAATTAACTTACCAACACACGCATTACCAGCAGGAACTAGCTGATAGTTATCTGGGCAGGTACAGATATAGCTCCCAATTGTATTTTTACAAGTCCCATACTGGCAAGCTTGTGGACTGTCACATTCATTTTTATCAGTGCAGTTTCCTGAAACATTAAAATACTTATGATATGCATATATAAGATTCCAAGAAACTAAATTATGAGGGCTAAATCAATGATTGTCCAGACTTCCGTTTAATTCTTTTATACTATAAAAGTCTTAAGATGACTAAGGAGATCAAAAGGTTGATCATCATCAGATTCAAATTCAAAGCATAAGACATTTAAATCTGAATGTGGAATAATTACCTCCTGTATTGTCCAGTTGAAAGCCATCCTTACATTCACATCGGAACATTCCAAAAATATTTTTGCATTCACCGTAAACACATAGGTTGGAAAACATTTGGCATTCGTTTATATCTATAAAAAAATTAATAAAAATGAGTGTTTTCATAGTGAATAATTAATTTTTTCTGGTGGCATCAAATGTAAATTCAGATTTAGTCAAATACTGCGTACTTACCGACACAAGCAGTTTCACTGTTATCATTTGGATGCATAAAGCCCATTTCACATTCACATCTGAAAGAACCTGGATAGTTAAGGCAATGGCCATTAGCACATAACATTGGATTTTCAGCACATTCATCCACATCGGTACATAAGTAGCCATCTCCACGAAACCCAGAGTCACAAACACACTGGAATAAAATGTTCCATCTTTTCTTAGGTCACAAAATTTATTGTTGAAGTCAACATCAGAAATTAAATTATTAATCGATTATGTACATTTCATATTAATGAGTGTTTAATTATAATAGTGTCCTAACCGAAAACTTACGATTAAATATAAAATAAAATAATTACTTTGAAAGATCCGTCATTGTTAACACACTGAGCATTTTGATTACAGCCTCCATTGTTATTAAGACATTCATTGATATCTTGACAAGAGGTGCCATCACCAGTGAATCCATCCTTACAACGACAACTGTATGATCCCTAAAAATAAAATAAAATAATATTTACATATAATTTATTGGATGGCATACACTTGTATGAAATTTATCATTTAAAAATTATCTTAGCTTATTCAATATTTATTTATAAGTGACTAGTGACTAGAAAATAAAAGTTGAGGTGGAATAAAACTATTTACATAAAACATATTTTTTATTCTAGATTGTGCTAGTTGTAAGTCTTAGTTATTAGTAGTAACAGTCATTTTATTCTAATCATTTAATGTTAATAAATTAGTTCAATATAAAATCAATAGTAAGATTATAAATATTTAATAAAATAAATGAGCTGGTTACCTACGGGATTGTTTATGCAATGTGCATTCACATCACAATTATTATTGCAAAGCTCACATTCATCATCGTCAGTGCAGAGTGAAGACTGATTTGGCTTAACAGAATAACCAGGTTCACAGTGGCATAGATAAGAACCAACAGTATTATCACATTCACCGTTTCCACAGATATTTTTGTCTTGTGCACATTCGTCAATATCTGAAATATAAAAAAAAAATGTTCAAAGCTTTGTAAAAAAAAAATATTAAAAAAACCATGGCTGAAGTTTAAAGAGAAACAAATAAATAAAAGTTAACTATACACACGTACAATCAAATATTGAAAATAATATAGTGATATAGGACCTCAAATTTATCGTCAATTAGGGAAAATACCAGTTAGTATTGCAAGTTCATAAGTTTGCTTAGTAGAAATCAGTCTTGCAACTTTTTGTTGCTTTATATAACAATATGGATTCTTATTGGTTTCTAGAACATTAAATGCTTTTTGCTTCTCTCAAGTTTTACATAATTCACACTGATAATTAAACTTCTCTGTTTATTAATTTTATTATTAAACCAATTAATTTTAAATAATAAGTTTATTAGCTGAGTTAATCTAAATTATTATACCAACACAAGATGATCCATCTGGTCCTTGCAATAGTCCTTTTGTGCATTCACAGGTGAAACTTCCGATTGTGTTTCTACACTTTCCACCGTTACAAATTCTTGGATTTTCTTTACATTCATCTATATCCATGCAAGTTCTACTGTCAAGGCTAAGCACAAATCCTCTCCTAAAAATTATGGAATTGTTATTGTAAGAATTTAAGAACCCATTAAATTGTCGCATTAATATTAGGCTTTAAAGAATTTGGCAACGAGTTTTTAATTTAATTTAACTAGCCAATGAACAATACTTTATATATAATATGAGCTTTTACATTTTCTTTATCAGGATGGCAAGATGTCTTCCTTGCCATTATCCAAATTTCAACTCAATTTAATTTATATAAAAATAATATGAATATGCATTCAAACAATAAAGGTTGCAAAATTTGTGATGCAATAAGGATGGTTATAAATTCATATACTCCAGTATGTAGGGGTTCCCATCCCCCCCCCAAGGCCGATGGCGCATAAACCTCCCATCCCTCCCAATATATTTTATTCATTTCTTGTTCTTAGCGCCAACGAAAGTAGAATTTAAATATTAGTAGATTATATAAAATTACATCTACTGCAGTCTGTTCCAGGCTCCCACTTGTCTTTTAAATTAAAACTTTTCATTTTGAAAATTCATAACCCCATCGAAATGTGCTCCCATCAAAAATTGAAATTGAAAATTCACTCCCTCATAAAGCTTTATGGCACAACTTACACGATGAAACTCCTTTCTGGGCACCCCTACCAGAATGGACAGAAAAGACAGGTTATCTATCCCAATAATAATAAATAATTGTTATTAAAATACATACTGGCAATCACATAAGAAACTTCCTGGTGTATTTAAGCAGATAGACTGACACCCTCCGTTACTGCTATCACATTCATCAATATCTGAAAGAAAATTAATTTCACTTTATAGGACAGCAGATACATATGAAATTTAAATTAAAAATCATTGGAACTAATTGAATTGCATAGTAAACTTCAATTTATATGAGTTAAACTTTGATTTAGCAAAACATGCAGCTCAACTAAAGATAATAATTTATAAATGTTTCAAGTCAAATCCATAATAGAAAACAAATTGCAATTATTTCTATTTCGATCAAAAACAAATTTTTGAACAGTATTCGTAATCAGAATACCTTCACAATGTGATTTGATTCCAGCATGTTCGTATCCATCATCACAGACACATTGATAAGTTCCCATCATATTTTCACACACACCATTTGAGCATATTCCACTTGTTCTTGAACACTCGTCTATATCTATAAATGAAATAATTTTAGTAAATAATGACTGACATTCATTAAAAACATATCATTAAACTTAAATATAAACAAAGACTTTGCAGTACCTTTGCAAGATTTTTTATCAGGAGCAAGTTCATGACCAGCAGGGCAAATGCATGTGAAACTTCCAGGAGTATTTTTACAAGTGCCTCCTCTGCACAAACCAGGAATCTTCTCACATTCATTGATGTCTTACATAAAAAAAATTAAATTGAAAAATTAATAAAATCTTAATTTAATAAACACTTACAATAACAAAGAAAACTTATAATACTTACCCACACAAACTTGCATAATTTCTGAATTTTCAAATCCTTCTTTACAATTACAAGTGAAACTTCCCGGTAAATTCTGACAAGTTCCATTACCACAAGCACCATGCATTATGTTACATTCATCGATGTCTACAAACAAAATTGCAGATTTTCATCTATTATCAAATTAATATGACAAAATATTTTAATGTTTTCTAACAACTACATTTTCTCTTAATTAATTTAGAATAATAATTTTCATAATTTCCAATTTTATTTAATCACAAGAAAGTTCTTTCCAAATAATTGATACAATTTGTTTTCTTACCAACACATTTGATCCCATTTTCATCAAGTGTATAACCTTGATTACAGCGACAACTAAATCCACCCACCATATTACGACATCTGCCATTAGCACATATTCCAGGAAATTCTATGCACTCATTGATATCTTTCCTGTCTATCATTCCAGGCCCCTGCAATTAGAAAGAAGTAAAAATAAAGCTTAGTTTCATAGATTTATTTAATATAAAAAAATAGTTTAAATATACGAACAGCTGGCCACCACCCACTTCATGCAGATGATATGTTTAAGACTTTATCCGTTTGGGGGAATCAGGAAATCAATGGTATAATTTTTTATTTATGCTGCAAGATTTCATTTTAACGCTCCCGTTTATAACAATTTTCTAGCTAAAACAATCTTTTTGGTTCTGATCTCAGTTAATAATAATTTGTTTATGGAATTTTATTTGTTATAATGAATCGATTTCCTGGTTGTAACACTGAACTAATTTTTTAGGTTTATAATGCTTTGATTTGTTGATTAACAGATTAACTTGAAGACAAAAAACATTATTCTTTCCAACAGGCTTTTATATTTTGCACTGTTTAAAAAATGTAAATAAAATAGAATGAGATTGTTTCTACCCATGATAGAACCAATAGGAAAAAGAAAAGATCGGCCAAAAACAAAGTTCTTGATGCTGTCATTAAAATAGTGACTAATCCAGAATTGAAACTTGAACATTCTGACATGCAGTCCAACTAGGCCAGAGAAAAGCCCTTCAAATAACCTATTACGTTTGAATCACAGACAACCCATCTCTGTTAACCCTATTTGATGACAATAAAGTGTTGGAAGAGCCAGAATGTTATTTTAAATGCCAACATTTCTTATAGCTACCAGAAAATTATTGATAATAAAGAACTTCTATAATCAAGTCATTAGTAATCATGGAGACTTATAAAAAAAAATAGATATATAAACATAAATAAAAGACACGACAAATCAAAAAATGTTTAACACTATCATTAAACTCTATTTTGTCAAAGAAAATTACCTTAGGACAAAGATCCGTAAATGCAAGAGTATTTTGTTTAGGACAAGCTTCACATTGCTGTCCATTTGGGGAACCTCCCCATGCTTTACCAACTGGAGAACAACAGCATAGTGATTTTGGATAGAGACCTTCAATAGTACCAGAACCCATACCATGTTTGAATTCACTAAAGCAGCTCTCTTGTCTAACATCAATGCACATTGTTCCTAAAACAATGATTTGTTATTTAATCATTTAAGTAATAAATAAAACATTCTAAAGTTTAATAATCATCTTGCACTATAATAAAGTTTTAAGAGTGAATTTTTATGTTTAATCTTTTATTTTCAATTTCTTTGTTTCCACTTAAATTAATAGTAACCATAAACAGACTATTTTTCTTGAGAAAATTGCTTGAAGATTATTTTATAACTATAGACTTCAATTTTAAATCAATTGCGCTTACCCAAAAATATCTTAAATAAAAGCATTATTGACCAACCTGCAGAATCAAGTGTGAGTCCTGGAGGGCATACACACGTGAAAGAGCCTTCAGTGTTAACACAGGTTCCACCACCTCTACAAACTCCTGCATTCAGTGAGCACTCATTTATGTCTGTGCAAGTTTTTCCATCAGTCTGAAAGATTTATTCATTAAATTTATGACTTAATTTTATTAAAATCATAATTGAGCATTATTGTAACTACATTAAGGGCTTTAAGTAACACTTGAATTATAATAATATCTCATAAGCAAATTAATAAATTATTAATTGGTACGAACCTTGGTGAAACCTCGTGGACATGAACAGTCAGTATGATGACACATCTGGCATGGAGATCCCCAAGCAACACCAATAGAGCAACAGCATTCTGACTGCAGGGTAACGCCAGGAAGACTATTTTCACACCGCCCAGCTACAAGCCTTGTCCAACAGCTCCCTTTTCTATTATCTAAAAAAAAAAACAATAAGGTTCAGAACCAATTCCAAAAATATCAGTCTAAAATATATAATAATCAATTTCAGTAGAAATTAAATTTGATAGTTATGATAATGATTTTTTAAATGAATATTCTATCATATGCTTAAAAAGTAAATTATCATCCTTCTGGAATTAAATCTTTTAATATATTTAAATATTACTACATTACTATTTATTTCCTTGAAATCCATAAAAAGTTGGTGCAGGATAACATTATGCTCATAACTAGTTGAGACAGGTCTAGAAATTTTATACAAATTAATAATGATATGAAGTAAATGCTGTAAACTTGATTTACTTGCCTATACAGACTCTTCCTGTGTGGTCGATAACTGATCCTGGTGGACAAGCACATTCGTAAGAACCAACAGTGTTTATACAATCTCCATTGTAACATGCATCTTGAATTTCTGAACACTCGTCTATGTCATCACAAACATGATTTACAACATTTTCTCTTGTACCAGGAGGACAAATGCACTGTAATATTTAAAAAAAAAAAGAATTTTTTTTTTTATTTTATAAAAATAGAAACTTCAAGCAAATACTGTCATGATATAAAATAAACTACTTATTTACTTATTTTGAAAATTATTCTAAAGCTGTAAATATTATGGAACAGAATATAGAATAACATAAGCTGTTACCAAAAAAAACTACTATTAATGGAACTTTAGTTTCCTGAATTGAACATGAGAACAATAGTATGACTGAAAACTAGAAACATAAACATTATTTGACCAAATCAATCTTATCTAATAATAAAAAAAAATGAAAGTTAGTTATTCAACTTAATATTAATTACTTAATAGAGTTTCAACTGCCTCCCGCAATGCTACATCCTAAGCTCTGATGAAGACCTGCAAAGTGGATCGAAACGTCGGCAAAAATTAAATAATACTATTTGTATAATTTAGTATTTATTTGACCGCACCCACCGATAAACTCCTTCTCATCTTAATATTAATTAGTTAAATTTTATAGTCTAGTGAAGTAAATTAAATTGAGCTCTAATGAAGCTATACATTCTTAAAAATAAGATTTTTTTTTTTAAATTCCATCTACCTGGAAACTACCCGGTGTATTTCTGCACTGACCCCCATCACAGGTACTTTCATCAGCTTTGCATTCGTCAATATCAACACATTTTTTCCATGTTGAATCTGGTTCGTAACCTTTGTTACATACACATCTATATCCTCCTTTCATATTTTCACAGGCACCATTGGCACATAATGCTGGGGTTAGAGCACATTCATTGATGTCTAAAATATAATCAACAAAAATATTTCAAAATAGCATTACAATGAAATATAAAGTAGCATATTTTTTATTTTTCGCTTTCAATTATAGTAGAAAACTGAATTTAGAACTACAAAATTCAGCTTTTAGCAAAAAAAATGCACACGAGTTTTAATAAGTTCTGCATGTGCCTGAAAAATGAATAACAATTCAAACCGACCTTTATCCTCAGCAGTCATGCCTGGTCCTCTGGGGCATAAGATTGAGAACTCGTGTGATCCTGGCATAGGGCATGGATTACAAGGCGATCCCCAAGCAAACATAAATGATGATGACGTACAACAGCAACAGGTGCTTTTTGTGACTACTGCTAGCGATGGCTCTCTGCATTGACCATTGTCATAAAGATAGCAAACGTCTTTTTGCATATCTGTAACAATAAAATGAAATTGTACAATCACTCATGATTCTCTAATGTGGTCAGAGAAATTTGAATAGTTTCAAATTTTAAAGGCTATTATGATAAAGTGATTTTCAAGTATAATAAAAAATCTGTTTTCAAAAAGCTTAAGATTAATGCTTTATCAACCAAAATATAAAATTAATTCATCTAGTAAATATATTACTTCAAGCTTGGAAAGGAATAAATATCGCTTTCAGGTCAGAGGAGTTGAATAAACGTAATTCGTCTTGAATATAAATAAAACCTTGAAAACTTATTGTTGTATAGTAGGTAACATCCTTTAGTTAAATTGTGGTATACTTCATTTTAATTTCTCACTGAAATTTATCATAATATAACCAGTTCAATTTCTTTTATATATTTTTCTAAATCTGGTGGATATTTTTATTTTTCCTTACCACTACAATTGCAAACTCCACAAAATTAGTGCTCTTGTATTTTAGAGATTATTTTAATTTTTAAAAAGAAGTAAAAGAAATATTGTAAAATGTTACTTCTTATCTTATTAGATGTTTTCCGAAATTTCTAATTCAACAACAAATAAACAATTTAACGATTAAAAACTTTTCACCACAAAACATGTTATGTTAATTTATTTACAAAATATGTTATAAGTTTGCAATAAGAATGAACCACAAAAAATATGCCTTACCTAAACAAGATCTTCCATCAAGGCTGACACTGTAACCACTTTGACACGAGCAGCGGAAACTTCCAATTGTGTTCAAGCATCGTCCATTTTGACAAGGAGGGTTCTGACTGTTGCATTCATCAATATCTAAACAGTATTTTTACAATAAGTATAACAATAGTTTTTTTTTTTCAAATTTTTTATATCAAATAGCTTGAAACCAAAATAATTTTTTTTAACAATTAAATGCCTCAATAATTTCATACTAAAAATAAATTTATTTATTCTTTAAATTTCATTCTTTAAGTATTTTAATATCCTTGTATTGAACACTAAAACATAATGAATTTTACTAAGGAATTTTAATGCGATTTTGTTTCATATTAAACAAAATAATGAATATGAATGAATAAAAAATAAATTTGGTTCTCTACTTTCAGAAACTATGATAACTTAATCAGATTCTGCCATTTAGATGAACTGCCAGATTGTTTGAGCTCTGTATGATCTCATATAATAGTAATTTTAGTATAGTTATCAAGATTAATCCTCATAGTCTACAAGGCTATATATAACCTTTGACGTGTGTGACCCATTTTGCCAAATGGAATCAGTTATTTCAGAAACAATATATGTGCCGTTTTTACCAATTTAGAGTTAGAGTTGTTCTGGGTAGTTTATTCATTGCCGCATCTCTTAATGGGAAAATTAAAAACAAATTTTATAAATAATGGATATATTGATTGTTTACGCCATATATTTTTATCTTTTAAAATGTTTTCTTATTTTTTTTTTTTGCGTTTTTTCTTAAAATAGTAAAAATTTCATGACTTATGAAATAACTGATTCAATTGATCTTGAAGGTGTGAGTGCACATGAAAACTTTTTTATTATGTAGGCACAATTTTTTTGTATTTATTAATTTTCATAACTCTCGTGAATCTGATAGTTTAGACCAGAATTTCTCTTGTAACAAAGGAAAATTCATGAGGTCTTTATTATCACACATATTTATAAACTTTAAATTGTTCCTAATTTTGTTTTCTTTTGATCATCTGAGGAATATATCAAAAGGGTTAATAGTTAACATTTTTATCTTTTTAACTATGCATAAATAGTAAGAGGAGATAAACTGTATTTACTAAACATACAAGATTGAAACAAATAAAATAACATTACCATGACAACTTTTTTCATCTGAACTCAGTTTATAGCCTGAATCGCAAAGACATTTATATGTTCCTTCCATATTGTAACATCTACCATTTTGACAAGTTTGAGGATTGGCGCATTCATCTATATCACTACAAAATGCCCTGTCTTGAGATAAAGTATATCCAGATAGGCACAAACATTGGTAAGATCCAGGCGTGTTTTCGCATCTTCCATTGAGGCAAATTCTTGGATTTTCATAACACTCGTCTATATCTGTGTAAGAAAACATTTAATTTTTTTTTTCAATAATCATTAAATTTTTAAATCAATTCCATGTCATTTTATATTTTCAATAACTTATGTTAAAATTTTCAATGACAATAAATTTATATCAAAATGTTAAAATGTTCTCAATCTATGTTAATACTGTTGGCAAATATTTATATCTTTGATATATTTTCAACAAAATGTTTATGATTTTTGTTTTATTGTTAATAATTTTGGATAAAAAAAAATTATTTTAAATTAGAGTGACAAAACATGCAATGTATAAAATGAAAGGACTTAATCTATTGACATAACTAACGGCTCTTGTTGTCACTACAAGTTAACTAAATTAATAATCTAGTAAATTAATTCATTAAAATCTCTAAATATAATCCATACATCATAATTTTTAATCCATTTTTCTTACATTGTTAAGCACAGAAGTTTCCACGGGAAACTAAAGTCTGCATAATTTGCAGTCTTGGACAATAACACAATTATAATATTTAAAAAATCGGAAATCTTGCACAAATTTTGTTAATTATTTATTATTTAGGTGTTATAATACATATTACTTTTATTATAAAATAATTCGCACATGTATCCTTGTTAGTGCCATTATTAATATTATTTTAAGATGAAATTTAACTATCTTACCAATGCAAGCGTGACCAGTTGAAGACAATACAAACCCTGGCTTACATTGGCATTTGAATGAACCAGCCATATTAATGCATTGACCATTAGCACACATTCCATTCTGTTGACATTCATCATAATCTAAAAACAAACATATCTATACTATATAAGTATAATGTAATGAATAAATAATCATGATCATTCTTTATTTGAATTTTTATTATATAGATAAGGAGGAAAGGGAATAATGTGTATTTAAGATACTATAGTATAAAGTTGCTCTTTAGAAGCAAGCAAAAGATGTTTCTATAAAATAAAAAAAACAAAAATGTAAAACAAAATTAAGAAATAAGGTTCAGAATTAAAACATTTTAAAAAAATTGTATGAAAATAATTTTTAAAAAAATATCAATAACTTTTTTTAAACTTCAATTTATGTTAATTTTTTAGAACCATTTTGACTTGAGTTGAAAACTCTGAAGTGTAACAGAACAATCAAATTCCTTTATTTATATTCATAAAATCTAAAATAATCATGATGCTTATTTTGTGACTTTTTTTTTTCTTCAAACTTGTCTTAATTTCCTTTGTTGCATAATTAGCTTGAAATATTTATTTATTCTACTACAATATTATAAATTATTAAACAAAATTACTTGCACAAAATTTTACTTGCTCATAATCCCTAATAATAATATATGGTTTGATGTAGTGAAGCATTCTTAAGAAAAATAGAATATTATAAATAAGTACTTTTTACACCAGCCATTTCATCTCGAAGATGTCCTTATCTTAGGTTTCTTCACTTGGAAATATTCTTATTTAACAAGACATATATAAAGAATGAAAAATGCTCACCTATACATTTTGTCCCATCGGAGGAAACATGATATCCTTCAGAACAGTGGCAAACAAATGAACCATTGGAATTGATGCAATTACCACCAAGACAAAAGCCCTGAGCACACTCATTCACATCTGTTTAATGAAATTATAAGATATTATTCATTATCATAATCAGCAATCACTTAAATAACAACTATATATCAGCAAAGCTCGTGGATGTTGAATTAAATAATGTTTCATATACAGTACAGCATTAATTATATGAGTAAAAATTAATTATATTAATGAATCTTAAATAAAATGGCATTCTGTGTAATATGACACTGCACATTGCCCAGCCACCTTGCTTATTCTGTTCCTCATTATTAGAAGAAAAATTATATATTAAATATTATTATTTTATTTTATCTTCATTTAAAAACAAAGACAATTACTTTAAAGAATATTAACATATTGAATTAATTAGAAGTCTAATGTTATTTAATTTGATTGAAATTTGTTATTACATTCCTCCTCTTCTGGCATTCAGCTGTATGATTTTTTTTTTAATCATATAAAATACTAATTCAATTAATGTCTATAATTGATACTCTACTGTATTATAGATGTTGGTAGCATTTTTTGTTCCCAACTTTGAATTTCGTATATGATGTATAAAAATTCATTAATTGTAGTTTGTCACATTTCATCACAACAATTTCTTTTTCAATTCATCATATGAATTAATTAATTACACAACCTTTAATAAGTATCATTAACTGTTCAAATAGTTATAAGTGATGAGTAGTTGCTTAAATGAATTTTGATAATGAGTTTAAAATACAGATTATCTTTCAACTATTCAGTATAAAGTTAAAAAAAAAGGGAGAGGGCAGATATATCTCAACTTCAACCATTGCATCATAATAGGATATATATGTACTTTAATTAAATAAAGTTAAAATGAATCGGAACAACAATAATAAATTTAGTATGAATTAAACCTTCGATCAGGGCAAGGCAGTCTTCTAAGGCTTCTTTTACAAAAAAGTAGTGGATGAAAATTAATTAAACAGCTAAAAGACACTTTGCACCACTAAAGAAAAAATGGATTTATAATCCTACTGCACCATTTCTTTTCACTTCCTCTTACACCTAAAGGAGAAGGAAGTAAATCAAAATCCTTGTTCAAGATTTCTATAATTCAGAGATTGGTTTAACTGATTTTTTAAAAATTTGGTAAAAGAAAAACTCCTAGGGCTGTAGTAAAAAAAAAAAAAAAAAAAAAAAAAAAAAAAAAAAAAAAAAAAAAGCTTCCAACCAATTACTATTGAAACCTTCATTTCGACCAACTTTTCACTTCTTAATCAAGACTAAATGAACAAGATACAAAACTAGTTCCCATAGAATTAATGTAATATTTTAAGGTTAAGATTAATGACATATACAATGAAATAACTAATACAGAAGTAATAGAAAAATGTAATAAGAACATAAAACCTTAATAAGTAATTTAGAGTGAATTATGAATTAATAGGAACATATAATTATGAATATATTCTGATAAACTGTCTCTGGTGTCACTGCTTATTGCTGGTCATAATATTTAAATATTGTGTCACTATATTATATTTATTTCTTGAACCCTGTTATTATTCTTAGGAGACTCTATTCACAGAATAAAATTATTTTTATTTCATTTCATTTATATTTACTTTTTAACCTTATCTTGTTTATGTTTATATATTATGTTACTCCAATGTTTTCAATTAAACCCAAAGCATGTCCTGTCACCAATGTTAGTAATTTCCTTTATTATTTTTATTTCACTTATCTCCTTCACAATTTTCTATTTGTTTTTATACGTTGACTTTTTTTCCACCTTCATGTTTGTTTATCTCTCCATACTTCAAAGTATTTTCCATCCCTTTTTATCTTTACATTGTATTGTTCTAATATGAATTAAATATGTTAATTCTTTATAAGCATACATTTCAATCATTTTATAATTAACTCTTAATCATTATTGTTTTACAATTTAATGTCCATGCTACATTTTTTATTTACTCTGTTAATAGTTATTTAATTTTCTATATGTCATTAATCTTAACTCTTAAACTCTAACAACAATTTTTATTGTTTTGTATCTTGTTCATTTAGCACTGATGAGATGGGCAAAGAGAGTTGATATGCAGGTTTCAATAAATTGTTTACAATATAGAAAGTTAAAATATAAATTGTTATCTTAATAAGCTCAATTGGTATTTTTTAATATATTAATGTTAAGATTACTAATAATTCTTTTAGCTTATTCTTTCTATTTTTAATACATATGTAGGTCTATCTCATTCTAGCAATAATAAAAGTAACTTCAGCATAGAATTTTTGCCCACCACTGACTCAGAAAGTTTGAATTTATACAAGTTTTATTTATTCCAGTAAACTAAAATGGTATTTTTTAGGATGAAATTTGTAGATGAGATGATAAGTTCCATTATTGTGCAGTTAATAAATACGATACATATATGTGATGCATCTAAGTTTACTTGTTATTTAACGTGTGATTTACGACTAGCCTTCACACACTTGTGACTGGCCCTTTATGACTTTAGTGTAACCAGGGAAGCAGGCGCACTCGTATCCGCCTGGAGTAGGTTGACATCGACCTCCGCCACAGATTGTTGGTCGAAATGCACAAGCGTTTCCTTCGTCAATTATATCGTTACAGAGTCTACTAAATTCATCTGGAAAAAAAAATTATTTATAATATTAATAAAAAATATATATACAAAATTAATTTAAAAGTATTTTGATAAATAATATTATTTTAACAGATATTTAAAATAATTAATCCTGTATATTTGAAGTCATTCAGCACAAAAATTCTAATAATCGATCGACTATACCATATCAACATTTAAATATAAATGCTGTGTTTAATGGTACTTTATATAGATACATTAAGTACCATTAAACAGAGCTGATGGATAGTCAATATAGAATTACCTTCTCCGGAAACAGGGCAGAGTTCACACTGATGACCCCATGCTTTTCCCATGCCCATTCCACAACAGCAGTCTTTTTTGGACAACCGTATTGGTAAGCCGGTATAGCACTGACCTCCAACCAAATCAGGGTAGCATTCATCTTGGCGTGTATCTTCAATTTAAAATTATTATTAATGTTTATATTATTTTATTTATGAAATTATTCTAAATTATTCAATAAATATATGTATTCGATTGATAAATGAATTCCATTAAATTTTTCAAGAAATAATTTTTTTTTCTATACTACAACTTATTTTAATCTATGCTATGGTTTAGTGATATCTGTTTCCATATTTATAATGCTATATCCTTAGAAAAACCAAGGAGTACTATTGATAAACTCAATCCCGTAGATTGTTGGATAGATCGCTTATCAGAGCCTACTAGCCATGAAGTTAATGCAAAACACAAGATTTATGTAGACGGGTACGCTTCACTATAGTTGCTGACCGAGTTTAAATAAATGTCAATAAATATTTCAAGAACATGAGAAAAACATTTTAGCAGATGAGGAAAAGTTTACATGATGAATCTCAACATTGTATAGAGTTATAACATATATACAACCTCTATGTTAACTATATCCATGTTTTTAAAGTATATATTGGTTACCTGAAATGAAGCAATGTGCACTAGAAAATTACCCATGGACGTACCAACATTGATTTTAAAAATTACTAACAGAAAATATTGAGTTCTAAGACACTCCACATTACGGTTGATCTACAGAGATTGATTTAAACAGTGTCAAGACAATTGAAATTTCTCCAAGCCTGTGAGAAACAACTTTGAATCTGCTCAGCTATCATAGTTTGATTATAATTAATCTATAGATGAAACAAACTGTAGTGAAGCATACCAGTCCTTATTATACTGTTACCAATCTATTCTAGCTAATAGTAAGAGGGTTTAAGGTTATTTGAAAATCAACTTCCACTCAAAATTGAACTAGTGCAGCTTCTGATTCTAGAGTGCTACATACTCGACATCCCAGGCCAACTTTTAATTATTGTAAATATTAATATCTTAAGATGCTAATTAAAAAAATATTTGATAAATAAGATAATAATAAGATAAACCTACCAATGCAACCAGTCATTTCTGTATTTCTAATGAATCCAGGATGACAAGTGCAGTAGTAGCTTCCATCCGTGTTTATACAATAACCATTTTCGCACACTCCTTGCTCTGCACACTCATCGATATCTCGGCACATATTAGTTACTTCGTCTCTTGCTTGTCCTTTAGGACATTTGCAAATAAAAGAGCCAATAGTATTCACACACTCTCCACCCAAACACAGTCCAGGAATGGCATCACATTCATTTATATCTATAAAAATGAAATATTCTCAATTTAATAATGAAAAATCAATATATTAATTTATTATATTCAGTTTAAGCAAGTTCATGAAATGTGAATAGCAGAAAAAAAACTGAAGCTCATATGAATCAGTTAGAAAATTCAAACAATTCACATTTTTTTAAATCATCATTTTATGATCTTAACCACAATCAGTATCGTAACATAAAAATGAAATCAGATAAATAAACCTTACCAACACATTGTCCGCTATGGATATTTTTTAGATGACCATCTTCACAGGGAAGATTATGAGGGCAAGGTTCACATGGATGACCCCAAGCAGCTCCCACTGTGGCACAGCATAGATTCTTTGTGCAGACCACACCGGGTAATTGGCCACCGCACAAACCATTAGAAACTTTTGTAAAACAGGGTCCTGTGCGATAATCTAAACAATACAATAAATTTTAAATATTTCTTAGCATTAAGAGCATTATATTTTATCCACACAAAAAACTTACTAACATGCAGTTCAATTTTCAAACATAATCAGACACAATATTTAGAAAACATAAAATAGAATGGCACAGTAAAAACTGAGCGAGATAGAAGTATATTCACTTACAAGATTAACTGTCTTATATTCAGAACTTAAAACATACATTTAAAAATGTATCAAGTCATAGGGGGTATCTAAAACCCAGAATATCAATACATTATAGTCTAAAGTAGTGAAGAAATAATTGATGTGCCACTATTTCTGACCTCTTTACAATAATTTTCCATACATAATAAATCAGTTATGTAAGGCCAGGGATGCCCATCATCTCCAAGGTCGATGGTGCATATAATCATAAACCTCTCCACCCCAATATTTTATTGCTATCCTCTTCTTAAAAACAGTGCAAGTTAAAGTAGAATTAAAGAAATCATATGTGATATACAATTTCACTTTCAAGGGTATTTTCTAAGCTGTTCTTTTGTTCCTGGTTTGAAAATTATCATCAACATTGAACATAATTCAGAAACCTATAAGAATGAGATAGCTCAATGTTATAGAGAGGTTTTGATTTATTTGTTGATGCATATAGTAGAAGAGAAGGAATATTGGCTACTATAGTGGTAGGTATTCTTTGTAATCGAAACATGTAATTTTAGAAAAATATTTTACATTATCAAATAACTAGAAGTTAGAGGGGAACAGAAAAAAAAAAAAAAAAAAAAAAAAAAAAAAAGGCAGACGATTTGGATCTAAAATTTAAGTTACTCTCAATTTCTTGGACATTATAGAGGATTTTCAATTGACTTAGTCTAGAATCCTCCTAAATGATGAGAAGAATAGTTAATAAATTTAATTAAATTAAATCAAGGAAATGTCATGTAACAAAGATACCTAATGAAATGAGCAGTTGAATAACGGTAACTGAATCTGACAGAATGGTGGGGGGAAGTTTTTTCAGAAATTACAGCTGAATGGAGTGAAGTAGGCAGGTTTATCTTGAGAAAACATCTCTAATAGCTCTTTGGAAACGGTATCGATTAGTGATTTCGAATTTTGGTGTGCTCTATGTGGGAGGGAGAGTGTCACCTGTATATAACTTACTACTGATTACTGAAGGCCAAGCTAAGAAATAGTGGGGGAACAGGTGAATAGAGTGAAGGAGTGATCGCGCTTTATGTATCCGATAATTTTACCCGAATAATTTGTCAGTTAGGATACAATTTTATAAAGAAAGTTGATCAATACCATACATCAGCGAATCGGAAATGTTGCCATGAGATAAAAGGCAAGAAGGGTCATCTGAAGATGATCAATATCAAAATAATAATTCTAAATAAATTAGTAATTGTTGACTTGATGAATATGAACCATAGTTCTGTTTTTTACCTGCTTCACATCTCCTCCCAGTATAACCGTACACGCAGGCGCATCGATCTGGAGCAATGCATCGCCCGCCGTTGAGGCAATCCTCTTTACAAACAGCTACAGAAAAAAAGTAAATATATAAGTCAATTTAAAAATAACAAGTCAATACTAATATATATAAAACTTAATGTAAACACTTCGAGAATTACTATTTTCGCGATAGAAAGACCACTGAGGAAAGTTTTAGAATTATTATTAACATCAAGATGCAAACCATATAAACGAAAAAGTAACTGTAAACTTCAATCAATATGTAGAACTATAGCCAATTACTTTAGTATAATATAGTTTATATAGTTTGTAATAAAATTCTTAGTCGCAAAAATAAAACAAAGGGACTTATCTTTTATGCGTATTACAGTCGACTTAAGAGGATTACAGACTACTCTCCCAGACATATTATTTATATGACTATGACTATATCGTCGGCACCATGTTAAAGTAACGAATGTGCAACGATAAACAAGCTCACATTCGTTAACTTAATATGGTGCCGACGATATCATTAGACTAATAATTGTTTCATCAGATAAATCTTTGGAGTCCCCATTGGATCCCAAGTATCCAGTTGGTATGTAGAGTTTAAGTGGCTCTACCCAGTTTTTCGACGCCTATATTTCTTAAGTGTGTTCCGTTTCCAAACCTTTAAAACCAAAAAAACTTTGTTACCTTCTTGATTTGTTTACTCCTAGTTCCTCTGTCGATTCTTTAAACACGATATTCCAGCCCACAAACAAGTATATTCCTTATCATAGAACTACTTTTTTATTTCATAGAACTACTACTTTATTTAAAAAAAAATACTTTATCATAATATAATACTTCATGTAACCTGCTACATTTGTTTTAGAAATCCTTACCCTTTTCCATACGCAAAAACTTCATTTAAACACCCATTATTTTTCAATCTCCTTCCAAATACATGTAAGAATTGAATTTTCTTATTTTAGTGTTAACAACCTTATTTTACTGTTATTTCACAATTATTATTAATATTTCTTACCAGTGCAAATATGTAAACATACATATATTTATTTATCTTTAATTTCATCTGCTTACTCATGTTTGCTCTATATTTTTATTTTAAAGTCACATAACTGTAATTTAGTTATTTCTTGACTGTCATGTTACGCCAGGGTAGCTTTTCATTTTTATTATTCTAAAGAGACGAAATGTCAAAGAGACGAAAGAATAAATTTTACTTGAATAGGGTAAGAAAAATAGTACATACTTGTACAACAGTAGAAAAGATCGTTTCTATTCCTGTAGTAGGAGATCTTAGAAAATGTAATTGAGGATTCAGTTTGTTAAAAGCGAATAAATCCGCAAATGAAAAAGGCAACATTCTTTTACAAAGTGGATTAGTAAGCGCTTATTATCATTGGCTATTTCGGTTTATTGTCGTGACGGCTGTTCTAATTTTAGACGACATTCTCTCATTAGCCGGATCTCTGACTGTAATCGATTTGGATCAGATTACAGACGGCTATGATTTCCCAGAACTACAAGTTCTCTATTGGAAGTATTTTAAGTATAATTTAAGCCGCCGGAAAGAAAGATAGATATATTATATGTATATTTGTGATGGATATTTCTAATATATATATATATATATATATATATATATATATATATATATATATATATATATATATATATATATATATATATATATATACTCACGCTCCTGACAGTTGTGGCCAGAGTAGCCTGGCCTGCAGTGACACCTGCCCGATGCGCAGGTCCCTCCGTTCTGGCAGCCTCCGCAATCGTCGCCTTCCCTGGATATGATCTCACCTGTATCAGCCATAATATGAGATTAGTAACGAGTTGATTAGCATCGATCAAAAGTGTTCTTGCTTGGCATCTTTTGACTGAGATGGTTTGATATAGCGAACCTAGTTGCAACTTAATTAATTTTAAACTTAATTTGCAATCGTCAAGATGTTCGTACGTGGTACATCTCAACCTTGGCACGACTCATTATTTTTTGATGCAATAAGCCCCGGGGCTAGAATGAAGCATCGACTAAGTTCCGCGGGCCATTAGTTGTTATTAAAAAAAAATTGTTCTACAAATAACACTTCAGCTGTGAAATGAGCCTTGTAAGAGAAAAAACGTTGCAAATTATTTAACAGTGGTTTATTATTTCCAAACAATTATAAATCTAAAGTAACATTACCTTCCTAGTTACAAGGGAAAATAAATGAAAGGTGATTGAAATTATTGGACTAAACTTTATTTGTAATCATTAGTAGTATTCTAAAAAAAAATAGAATTACTTCTGTAACACATTCAAAATTCGAAAACCAAAACAAAGGATACAACGTTTGCTCCCCTCCCCCAAAATGGTAAAATATAACCATGTTTTATCGAAAAAAATATTAAAAAATTATCTCTTAAAGTATAATTATTCGTGTAATTACATTTAAAAGGGCTTTAGAAATCACTTAAACACCAGTCCATATAGGTAGTTAGTTTCTTTCTTATTTACCAAAGTAATTATTGTTATTTTTATGAAAAAATAAGCTTTCGGGCTGAGGCTCCCCCCAAAATTAAATCCTGGATCCGCTAGTGATCACAATGGTTCATTATTGGAAATAATAAACCAAAAAACCCATGCAATAAATGTTGTAGTTGTCTCGTGTGTGAGCAATTGAAATTTGAAATGAAATTTGAAATGCGGGCCAGATCCGTCTAGCGGACTGTAGTTTGGAGAGCTCTGCAATAAGCTACCATCGTCGAGTAAATGTGCTGATTAAAAATTCGGATCTCAACTTGGACGGGTCTAGCCACTTTACGAATTCGATTATGTCGGAATCAAATTAGTGGAAATGAATCTCTGTGTATTCATAAATCATCCCTTATTCGAATATGGTCAATCTAAAGCAGTGCTTCTCAAAAATTAGTCTGATAACTAAAATCGTTAAAAGAAATTACAGGCATACCTGCTATGATTGTGAATATTTAATCGACATATTACTGAATGAAATAATAATAAATTTTATAAGTAAATAAAATAGAAATACAATAGAATGATAATGAATAAACAATCTCAATTTTTTAATTATTTATATTATAATATTTAAGAGAAAGGGGTATAGAATGATAATAAATGAATGAAAGGAATAATAAAAAAATAAAATAAAAAAAATATATATATAAAAATATTGTGTACTATGCTCATACAGATTGTTAATCCTATATAATTGTATATGAGTTTTAAAAAATTGTCTGTATCGATTAATAAATATGCTGAACCCAATGTGATTGGGCAGTACCATGTTATGATAATAAAGTGATTCTCTCTCCTAATTAGTGTATATTATGAGATATTTATTTGGAAACATTTCACCTAAATTTTTATTTTTATTTATATATATTGGCGGATCCATTGGGAGGAAAGGAGCTTTTGGGTTGAAGCCCTCCCCCCCTCTTCCTCCCTCTCACCAAATGGAAAGAATGGGCGATAAAATTAAGCTTGCTTCTCTTTAAACCTGATATATAAATATAAATATTGAATATTTAATAGTTAGCCGTTGCATTAAAAAGGAAGGAGATGGTCCGGGGTGGCGGTCATAAATAGGCTAAATAGTGGCAAAACTATTTTATTAAAAGCCTACGTTTCGACCCGACTTTGCAGGTATTCATCAGGGAGGTGTGTTCAGCTAGGAGTTTCACTTAGAACTTAAAGGGTCGAAACGTTGACTTTTAATTGAATAGTTTTGCCACTATTTAGCCTATTTATGACCGTCACCCCAGACCTTCCTTTATAAATATGTAATGGTTTAGAGTGGAATATAACGAGTTACTCACGTTCCTGACACTTGAGACCAGTAAAACCTGCTCTACATATGCATTTTCCCATGAGGCAGGTCGCTCCGTTCTGACAATTACCGCATCCGTCATTAGGTTTTGAATGAGATTCCGCAACGCCTACAGGCATTATATTAATTGAATTATTGGATATGTATGATGATTATTTATTAAAATTAAATTCATTAACTAATATATATATATATATATATATATATATATATATATATATATATATATATATATATACACGACAGTGTAACTGTAACTATGGATGCTGTGAACAAACCTGTATGAGGCAGCCTGTTTGGAGCAGGATGAGAAGAGCACGATGGACTAAGATGGCCCCCCTCACACAGGCATAAGTTCGGCTTGACACATCTTCCCCTTCCGCAGCGCCTTCCCGTACAGATCGCTGCAAATTTATAACGGTTAAATAATAAATAACTTAGATCACATAAAATAAATAAGTAACTTATAACAGTTACTGAAGAGAGGAGGTCGCAGTGACTAGGTTATGAAAAGGACATTCAAATTAACTCATTTAAATCTCATTATTAAACAGCCTCCACTAAAATGTCAACACTGCAATAGCCTTCTCAATATCAGTCATATTTTTCAGGAATTCCCTTATTATACCTCAAGCTTAAACAGATTATCTTTAGTATCAAACAATAACGAATCAAACAATTATAAATATTCTTAAAATTCATAGGCTATTAAATGAAATATAGAAATATATATAATTTTTCATTTATTATTCCATTTATTTATCATTAGTTTTCGTTTGTTTCTTTTCTTTCTTTTTTTTATCTCTTCAAAGGAATTTCTGAACTCTACAGAAAACAAAAGTAACTTACTCACATGCGTTGACGACCCTAGGGTTTTGCGCCTTACAGCCCAAATAACAAATATACTTATGTGAATTGTTAATATTTTATAGAACGTCGGTATTATTTAATGTAGAATAGAGTAGAATAGAAGAATCAACTTTATTCTGGGACAAAGTCCCTTGAGAATAACAATATTGTTCATAAAAATTAACACAACATCTGGCCAAACTGCATATTACAATAAAAAAAAAAACACACAAAAAAAACTAAAAAATAAGTAATAACAGAAGGATTTACATAACTATACTGATATATTGAAGACACAATATGAGCAATAAGGTCCTACCACTGCAAGATAGTTACTAAAAACAATAAACTATGGAATTTTAACTGAAATTTGATATGAACGACAAATTACTTTTGTTGTCATATCATTGTATTAATGAAAAAAAATAATAATAAAAGAGTGGATACATATTTACTTTAAATGATTTACATATGTACCTTAATATGTTCAAAGAATGCAATAATAGTATTGTAAACATTATACAAGGGTCATCTCATTGTACTCAATTTTATTGAAATTTCATTAATACTAATCAAATAAGAATGACTTAATATCCTTGAGATAAGTTATCCCTTTATTGCAGCATAGGGGTTCCACGTGAGTGAAAAAGCTCTCTTTTAAGGAAATTTGCAAGGTTGGTAAGAGAAATAAAGGGGAACAATTTTTTTCCAATCAAAGCCCAGATATTTACGAAATTTACCGATGTCGTACGTTTACAGAGCTAAAAGTGTTCTTAGAAAAAAAATATTGGAAAATATAATTTTATCAACTTTTCTTTTTTTTAATATCGATCTTTTACTGGATTAAGTAAATTATTAAGTTATCAGCATAATCCAAGTTTAGTAGCGTAAAACCAGAGGGTATTCCCTATGCGAACGGGGAACCTGCAATTTGTGTAGCAAAAACAATAACATTTATTCCGCTTTCTCATAGTGCTTTATTCACATCACTGAATTCAGCCATACATAGGTATATTAAAACGATAACATTAAGGTTCGTTTAGACATTTCACAAACTGTGGGGCAAACAAATATATAAATGGTTATTTCACTATTAATTTTGTTTCTTCTTTTTGATATTTTCAAGCTGTTGTCGCTATCAAGAACAATAAAATAAATAGTTTGAATCCCTAAAATAACCTAGTATTGACTATCATGTTCATATTCAAAATGACAGCCTCGTCCTAACGAGACTTTTTTAACCTAAAATGGAATAAATGAAATTTACTCTGGAAAATTTAAAACAAGCGTTTTTTTTTTTTTTTTTTTTTTTTTATGTTGATTTCAATATTTATTTTTTTCAGAAGACGTTTTAGTTTCGACGAACAGTTGACAAACATTGCAATTGACGTAAGCTGATTAGATGTAAACCTCTAGTTAAATTTGCGATCTGATAAAAAAATAGCAGCAAATATTTATATAAATATACCGCACTTAATGATAGATTCATTTTTTGCCACACTATTATGATTAAATCACGGCACATAATGACTATTTCAGTAACAACTTAATTTTATAGTATAATTTACTATCATGGATTTTTAAAATATAAGTTCAATGTTAATGACACTTTTAAGTTAAAACTAAATAAATAAAGAAAATAATGTATGTTGATTTTATTCACAGAATAATTATTGTTATTTAAATGTTAAATTGTTATATTTCGTTTTTAATTGAATTGTATGCATAAATATATTTACGAATATATTTTTATTATTTGTGAAAATAATTTGTAATGGTTGAATTACGAATATTTTATTAATCTTAAACCATCTTCAGTTTTCCTAGAGAAAAAATCTCCTTCAGTTTGCCGTATACTCGTCTGCAACACAGCCTTGAAGTGATGGTTTGGTATTGTATTAGAAGATGAGTTTCTTCAAATGCCTTTTTGTATTATTTAATATATTAGTGAAGATGTAATTGTATATTTCATATTAATATCTATTATTCGCCTCGCTGTTATGAAAAAAAATATAAAATACATAGTAAGAAAAAAAAAATTTACTAGCAATGTTATCCACTGAAAATGCTGACTACATACCAGATATGGATTCTGTTTTAACGTTAATTTAAATTGTAAATCATTATAACCGGATTTAGATTTAATTTGGAATGATTTATCGAGATGCCTGGATATTAACAAACATTAAAAATACAAAAAAATAAAAAATAGAGCTACTGTTTGTATGCTTATCTGTAAACATATTTATACTTGAACGACTATGTTGTGCTCCAGTTTTTGGGCCTATCCAATGCTTAGGTTGTCATTATTGTTAACGCTATGGTGAGTGTTTATCTTACTTTTCTCTCCTAATGCTGAGTCTTAATTTTATTAGTTTATATAGCAATAGAAATAGAAAATAAATTTTATTCTGGGACGATGTCCCCTTAGAATAACAATAATGAACAGTTACAAAAAGAAAAAAATACAAATCTGGCCAAAAACTAACTTAATAAAGATTCAAACAATATATACAACAACTTAATAATAGTATGTAAATTACTAAAAAATAAAATAAAATCTTCTCAACAAAAAAAATTACAAAAATAAAAATAAATAGAAAAAGAATTACATGAATATAAAGAAAAAGCAAAACCTTCAGAAAAGAAAAAATATCAAAATTAGGTAAATAAAAAAGATTGACTTATGTTAAAACCCAAACGGCTAAAGCATACAAAATATATACATATATTAAAGATATATTAATGACAGAAGATGAGCAACAGGATCACAAAAGAAAAAAAAAACTGATTTAAAGAAAAAAAATTATTTATATATGTTATACAACACGCAATGGTATTGTAAACTATAACAAAAAAACACAGAGATTAAGATATGAAAAGATACATATGTATATAAATTGAAGAATGTAAGAAATGAAATACGTCTAAAATATACAGAATCTTCTAGATGGAAAAAAGATAAATGGATAAAAACAACAAACAATCTTATTTTTTTATGCATCGCCTCACAGTGCTATGCCAAAAGTGATACTGAATCTTTCCAATTCATAAATAATAAACAAAAAATAAAATAAAATAATACTAAAATATTTATGTGCATTAATTCGCTAATATGAAAGTCGCTCAGTATAGTCCGAATAGGCGAACAAATCTTGGGTTGTAGTCTTTTGTTTGATTATTGACGTAGGAATTCAGATGTGAAATAGGTCATTGTATGACATTTTTATTACACGAATTACTCACTATGACAAAGCTTTCATTTTCAAATTGCTTGGATATATCATAAGTATATACAGTGTAAACTAGAGGGGCTAGTACTGAACCTTGGGAAATTCCTGCCAAAATTAGACGATATAAATTTCTGCCTCAGTTTCAATTTTCAATGTTTAAAAGAAGAAAAAATATTTTAAATGTCTGATCAATTATTCTGACCCGTATTTGTAACTCCTTTGAGTAGTAACCGCATTTATTATTGGATAAACTGTTTCCTCACTTCATACACCGTTGCAATGATCAAATCGCTAGCATGGAAATTCATATTTTCATTCAATACTATTATTATTAATGACTGGGTCGAACTATACCTTACCGTAAAAATAAGAAGAGATCATAATTTGTGGAAACATTTCACAATACCTTAATCGCTTTTAGGAAAGTAATTCATGAAATGCCTCGTCATGAAGGGCGTAGGATGATGGATTTAATGTATTTCTTTGATTGTGCAACATTGGGGAACGTTGTTTAGGGCCTATTGTGAAGAGGAGAAGCATCAATTGCTGGGCCTCTCGCAGACGTCACCTAAATCCAGCGTAAAGGGTGCCTACCCCCCTGCTATAAACACAACGGCCCTAGGCCATACATAACGATGACGAGAGATGGAGTCGACACCAAGGGCCGATAAAGGTGACCGCCTAATGAACAAGCTGTCAGTGCAACTATCAATAAAGTTACACAAGCTTGTCTCAGTGCATCCCCGGGCACCTCCCTCGTGCAGTCAGGGTGGCTTTTACGTCGCAGAGGTTTCAGTAACCGAAATCCATCTAGTTACCTTGAAAATTAAGATCATTTCTGATAATATAGACAAACAAATGGCTAAAATGTGTAAAAAAACAACGCTCTCTAACAAAGCATTATTGAACAAATGTTGTTCCTCCGCTGCACACTCTGCTAATTGTCCTGAAAAGGTGACAAAAAATAAATGTGTTTTTTTTCTCTATTCTTATGGATAAATATGAGTATTATTTCCGTTGAGTAGATAGATCTTTGGTTGTGGTGGGAACGTTTCCATCTTCTAGTCAACTTGTTGGATTTGGGTGTAATTGACGCTTGCTCGTAATGTCGTAGAGTATCTAGTTATTTTTTTATTACTATTTTGGTGGAGGTCGTGATGGCCGAATGGGTTGAAGTTTATTTCCTGCCTTAAAAATTCCTGCCTATCCTCTCTCTCCCCCCCCCCTAACCCTGTTAGTCTGAAATGGCGAAATAGGGGTATATCGAAAAAAATCTATTATGACTGCTCCTTATCAAGGTATTACATTCAATTTATAAACAATTTTATAGTTATCAGTTTATCATAAATTTATTTAAACTCAGAGGTTTCCATCCTTCCTAGGTCGAGGACGAATTAGCACTGAAAAACGTCATCTTAAAACTACTCATTCTAATGAATATATATATAATGTAGTATATGTATTTAAAATAATATATAATAAATAAGATTGAGTCATTAAGTTAATCATACTTACGTATTACGCACAGAGCATTGCCCATCATTTGCCAGCCAGGGCAACAGTAAATTTTCTTTTCCGTTTTGCAGATATTAGGCCTGTAACAGAACAGTTTCAAAATATTAATATTCAATATTGCTAATTCTTTAATAAGAAATCCATTGATATCCGCAGGTTTTTTTATTTATTTCCGTTTTTTTAAGGAGTTGCACATATCTACCGCCCTCCAAATTAATCTAGAGGAAAATTTGTATATGAATCGAGTTGGAATTAGAGAGGCGCGTAAATGTATTCTCATTTTTTTTTTCAATAAGGAAGAAACTCAGCAGTTCGATTTATTTTAAAATTTTATTGAATACAATTTTGTAAACAAAAATTAGCTTAAAATACCTTAGTGACATAACCTAGCTTCTAACGCTCACTTTAAGTTTTTTTTTTGGGGGGGGGAGAGGAGGAGGGATTTAATCTAGATTTAAATTTTTAAGAAAAACAAATAAATAAATAGGGGAAATACTTAAGTATAGTATTGACTTTATAAGTAAAGAAAATTTAAAGAAAAATGGTAACGTATAAAAAATTGATTTAAAGTTTTTATTTAGTTATACTGACCATGGAAAATTATTTATCTAAGGTTATGGGAAAACAATTAGTTAAGCACAGCTTTTGCAAAAAATAAATAAATAATAATAAAATAAAAAATTCAGTTAATTTATTAATAAATATTAAAAGCAAAAAACTGATTTTGACCTGATTGGTCTTCGGTAAGATAAAAAGATTTTTTTTTATAAGTATTTTCAACCACTGTGTACCGCTGGAAAATCTACAAGAACTTTTCGAGCTGAAGCTAGAAAAGTACATAAAATTAGGGTGAAAATACCTCTCGTTTCGATCCCAAACTTTCTGGATTAATATTTCTAAAATCAGAAGCTTTCTTTGGTAGATAAGATTCAGTTTACTTGCAATTAGAAAGAATACCGTTTTAGTACAGTCTCATGTTTATGAAATATAACAATAATAATAATACAGATAGTTACAGATATTCTGGAATTATCTCTTGACGTGCTAAGACAGGTACAGCAATCAGTTCTTTTGGACACATCACGAATAGTTCTGAAATTCTTAAATAATTAAAAATAATATGAAGGTGGCTGGGCATTGTCTCTCACCTCAGTTATTCAACCCGCAAAAGTGAGAAAAAAAATGAGACTTTACTTAAAGGGTATGCTTATATATATAAAGAAAAACATATATTCTACCATACACATATAAAAATATACATAATGGTTTATTTTACTTAAAATAACATACACTATCTCAATTAATAGTAATCATTCAAACTTTCAAATTAAGGGTAACCTTTTTGTTTCCTTGCCTTTAGGTTTTCATAAATTTTTGGAAAATTTTAAAACAAATAGTAATAATATTACTGTATGAACCAAAAAATATTTTGATGTTTTTGCAGAAATATCATCGATATTTGACTTTCGATGTTTTGGAACATCAATGTATTGATATTTTTGTCATTATGGCCCATAGCCCGTGGAATTTAGGAGTGGTCTCAAAAAGTTTGGAGAACACCGACCCAAATCAAATTCAAAGTAAACTATTGAAGTCGAGTAGGGCATTCCTGGATTAAGAAGTAATAGTGCTTCGGATTTTAGCGGATTATATGCTGTTACGGAGCTAAGCGAAGAAGCAAGAACCGAGAAGGACTGTATGTATAGACCTAACAGAAGACTGCTATAAATAGTGGTGCATCTGTCCATCTTTGATAAAGTGCATTTAGCCCAAGATCTGATGCAGCAGTGACATCCTGCCATGGTTTCGTCACTTCCGCCACGTGCTCTTGACGATGGACCTATCGCCAACGCCCCCTCTTCTCTATCTGCATGTCGAATTCTATCCAGTTAAAAAAAAATTGGTCGTGAGAAATCTAATTCTGCTTGCGGAATGTTCGGACGTTCCAAAAAAAAAAAATATTATCGGATCTTTGACAATCATTTTTTTTTATTATATATAATTCTTCAGACTCTTCTTCAATTCTTCTTTTTAATCCATGGTACAGATCAATTTTTATAAAATTATTAATATTCGCCTAAACTTCATGAAAGCTTTACCTGATCGTACCCTACAACATTTGTATTTACAAAAATTCTCGGAATCGGGTCATTTTCAGTTTGGAGATTGGCAAACTTTGTCTATTTCATTAGCTATTAAAAACTCATAAACACCCATTTGCTTTCCACTTGAATCGTACGAGAATTTGATCACAAAATAGAAAAAAAAATATTGAGCTGTTTGTGGTGACCACCTCCAACATCTCTAAATAACGAGGTTATATAGTCCAAACGGCCCAATATTTTATATAGGCTACCTTTTTTTTCGATTTTATGATCAAATTATCTTATCATACAAGCAATTGGGTATTTAAATAAGTTTTTAGTACCACATAAAATTAGTTAATGAGAAAACGCCCCAGGTTCTTCTGGTGTTTCAAATTTCTGAGAATTTTCTTACATAAAAAAATTTGTAGGTAACGATAAACTAAAGCCTTTCACGAAGTTTTAGGTGGATGTTAATAATTTTATAAAATGGCGTCTGTACCAAAAAAAAGTTTAAATACTTAGACAACCTTCTTCAACATTGTACTTAACAATCACTTGTTTGTTTATCTGTAAACAAAATTTAATTCTCAAACTCTATCGGGAGGAAGTTGTAAGTGAATTGTCAATAATTATAAAAATGTTATCAACGACCTGATTTAAGTTAGAGTGGAAAGATCAACGTTAATTGCTAATTTAATTTAACGAAAGTTCGATAATTAAAAGTAATTTTTAATTCTCAATATGTCCTTAAAACATAAACAAAGCTTGTTGATTTCATTGAGGAATAGAGTTTATATAATCGATTGTAATATAGATGTCAAATTGATTATTTGGCTTAGCATTGACTCGTACGATGTTTGGCAATCAATTCCATAAGGCTGGATCATTTGTTATTGGCTTCCAACCCATCGCTTTGGGTTGAACATGTCATTAGTAAAACTTGAATAGAGTCTGTATGGTGCCTCATGTTTGGGCCTATCGAAAGAACATTGCAATTATTTATGACTCGGAATTCACATTTAAATCAACCTTTCTAGTTTTCTTTTTTTTTTTTTTTTGCGAAATGTCACAAACAAGTGACCTCCAAGTGACCTCCCACTGTCAGAGCATCGCGTGAAAATTGAGGGGTGTACGTCGGAATGAATCATAAAATCCTTGGATCTGCACGTGAGACATCTGTCCTTAAAAGTAATCAAGAGGACACTGAGGAACTCGCTAAGACTCTGGTAAGAAAAGCAGAGAAATTCGGCCTACAAGTAAATTAAGACAATACAAAATATACGATAAACCGAAAATTCAATCCGAATAACGAGATAAGAGATTCTCTGAGAAATAGATTCTCTGCAAATTCAAATATCTCGGTTCCACAAAACCTTACAGAATTACGAAGAGAAGGACAGTTGGGGTGATCAGTCAAAAATAAAAATGGCAAAAGTAAATAGTAATATTTATTTTAACATTTGCCGACGTTTCGACCCGAAGTTCAGGCCTTCATAAGGGCTGAGAAAAGAACCAGATAACAATTGGTACGAGAAACATAAACAATGTAGGTAAAAAAAACTTAAAGTAATATGAAGTTCAATAGTAAAATTAATTCTTATCTACTTCATTTTACTTTAAGTTTTTTTTTACCTACATTGTTCATGTTTCTCATACCAATTGTTATCTGGTTCTTTTCTCAGCTCATATGAAGGCCTGAACTTCGGGTGGGAAAGTGAGGAGGGGAGAAGGTCTATCCCCCCCTCAAGCAGAATGGAAATTCTGAACCTATGGCGTGCAGATAACTGGAAAGAAGTAGCGTAAGATAGAGTTAAAGAACGCTTGTAATGCGAAAAAAGATCTACAAGATCTTTAATGCTAAAAAAAAAAAAAAATCATACTTTTACTTGGTAAACCTTATTAAACTTATCATCACCAAGGGGAGGTTAGCTAAGACGAGGACGTGGGATTTCCAAGAAGTCGTATACAGTGCGTCGTGGAAATATATCCCAACTCACACTCCAGAAATTAGGTTGCAGTTGCAATTATAAATTATAGGAAAAACGAATATGTATAACCGCAGAAGCCATATTAATAAATGGAAAAACTAACAGTACGAGCAGAAAGTTTGCGGTTCACGGGGAAGGCCTCTACGATCGGATGTTGAGAAAGTCATTAGCTAATCAGGTAATTATTTTGCGGCGGTCGGGGCCGTGGGACTTGATATCATTCCCTGTCTCTTCTCACCTTACGCTCGCATTTTTTTGTCGGTTATAGCTGATCGAAATAGACCTAGTAACTGTTTATCCCACTTTACGGAACATTCAAGTAAATAAGAAAGGGAAGACATAATGAGAAAATTCGGCATCCATAGACAAAATACCTGTGAACTAGTTGATATTACCTTCCGTGCGTGTTTTCCAATTTTCCTACAAGAGACTTGTATACGCTAACGAATTTCTACGACTACGAGGCTCTGACTTTACACCATTTCGTTTCAATTATTTTTACCATTTCACCTCGATCAATTGAGTTAATATTTTGCATGTAGTAATATCGCCACAATAGTCCCTCTCCTCTCCAGCCAATAAGTAAATTGATATGGACTGAATTGTATTTAGTACAGCAAAAGATCCAGGATCTAAAGTTCATTTAAAATTTACTGCTCATTGCACCTAAAAATTTATAAATTTCAAATAAGTTTACCAACATCTCACCACACCTCACCTTAGTCTAGTTTCAGACTGAAACTACTTCTTTAAAAACAGAAACGTCTTCTAATCTGCGGTCCTCTGTTACTGCACAGTTTTGGTAAAGACGTCGACTCACTGTTTCTCAGTTTGTGGAAACTGCTTGGCAAGTTATAATGACCTGCACTGCGTTTGAAGAGCTGAGGAACGCACAAAGTCCTTTACGTTATCACTGAAAATGATTTTCCCGTTCTCAGAAAAGGAAAGAATGACCTTCGAAGAGTTCGTGTACCAGCTGAAGATAATAGTGGGATCGGAACAGTCC